AAAAAGGCTTATTTTTGTTAAAAGCCTCTTAAGTATTATAGAGACCAGTCTCTGAAAAACAAAATATTGCTACTGCCAAATTGTTGGATTTGTAAAAAGCCAGCTGATCAGACTCACATGATTAATACGAGTTGAGTTTTTAGTAAATTTATACTTTGCCTGATTCATTCTCTCATCCTGAGTGAAGCTACGGCTGCATGCCACCAATAAACATGAGAACTGTAATATAAATGATTTACATAAATACCTACTGTTTTATCTTTTTCCTTTGGCTGAAGTTTTTTTTGTATAGTCTGAAAACCAGTTTCACAGACCAGTTTTATTATAATAATAATAATCCTTGCATTTGATATAGTGCTTTATCACATCATTGAGATATCTCAAAGCGCTTCACAGAATATACTGTGAAGTGAATTGACTGTATATTTTGTGGGCGAAATGCGGCATGGTAGTGTCCACAAACAGTCATGGATTAAGTGACCAAATTTGTTTTAGTGGATTATTATCCCCAGAAAGCGATCTGCCAATCAACTGGGTTCCTACTTACTTCTAGGTAAACAATGGCGTGTGGATTAAGGAAACTTGCCTAAGGTTTCACCCTGCCTGGGAATCAAACCTGGGTCCTCGGGTGAGTGCTCTAACCAATATGTTACTTGATTCCACAAATTATTAGCAATAATAAGCTGAAAGAGTGACGCGAACAAATCTTTGACATGAAAATGAGATCAAGCCTGTGAAAGTAAACTTGTTAATTGCCCTGACAGATTTAATATATAAAGGAGAAGCACGTTGGTTGCCAAAGCCCCTCACGTGAGGACCTGGATGAAGTAATCTATTGTAACCTATTAGACAGCATTGGATTTGGACCTTTAGAACATTGAAGTGGCTGGCAAATCATAAGCTGTCCTGAATACTCACCCATCCTAAACTCCATAACTCCATCACACCAGTTCTAGTCAGGCTCCACTGGCTCCCTGTTGCCGAACGGATTGATTTCAAGATCCTCACATTCGTTTTCAAATACCTTCAAGCCCTGGCACCTCCCTGCCTCTCCGACATGCTTACCTCCCAGTCCACAACCCGCTGCGTCCGCTCGACTGGCTCTGGCCTTCTGCATGCACCTCATGCCCTCCGTTCCATCATTGGTGGACACTTGAAGCACTCCGCGTTGCTACCGCGCATGAAGGTCGCTATATAAATGCAAGTTGCTGTTGTTGGTGGTGGCCGCGCTTTCAGCCACTATCCCCTGAAACTCTGGAACACTCTTCCTCTATCCCGCCGCCTTGCCCCTTCCTTCCCCATGTTCACGTCGCACCCGAAGACCTTCCTCGTCGACTGGCCCTACGGTTACCCCTCCCTCTCTCGGCTCTCTATCATGGTCCGCCACTGTGAAGCACTTTGGGACGCTGCCCTGCATTGAGGGGTGCTATATAAATGCAAGTTGTTGTTGTTGTTTTATTGGTCTTCCCAACGTGCTGGAAGCAGATGTCCCTTGAAAAGCTGATGAGAAAACCTGATGCTTGCAATGACACCTGCTGGAAGCCATTACCTAGAGTGCAGATATGTGAACAAATGTTCATATGCTCACAACTAGGATACACATCAGCTCAATGGGTAGGGATGTGTATCCTAGTTGTAAGCAAGAGGATGTTGGCAATGATCTCAAGCATTTCTTGTTAAGTTTTTCTGCTCACCAGGAAGCTTGCAGGTAGTTTCTGCTCAAACCTGCAAGTGACATGTCAAGTGACTATCTTCCTTGGGTGGACTTTGAGACTGAGTTGGCTCCACGGTGACGTCTTAGGCAATGGAATGTTGGCATTAAGTCAACGCTTTGTGATGGTCTTGGTGAGATTCATCAAACAGCTGCCATTTCTGCTCACAAACCAGCTAGTCTGGCTCATTGGTATGACTTGCAGGGGCAGGGATTCTTCCCACTTGGCTCCTGTTAAAGCTGCAAGTTTCTTCAATTGATTGTTGGCAAGACAGAGGCTCTCTTGTTTGACTTGTTTAGTCCCTTCTCACGTTGGGTGCTGACAGCAAAAACAGCAAAAACTTCCATGGATGCACTCTTCACCGGTGTGGATCCTCTCTGTCTTGTTTGATTCCCAACTATCTTTCAAACCCCACATCTATGTTCTTACCCACTCAGCTTATCTCCACCTCTGCCGCTGCCTCTCCCCTTGGGCTGCTGAGTTCCTTATCCATACTTTTATCATATCCAGGCTAGATGATGCCAACCCTTTGCTTGCCAGACTCCCTAACTCTTTACTCTCTCACACCACGTTTCATGAGCCTATCACTCCTATTCTTACACAGCTCCATTGGCTCCCTATCACCTCACAAATGAAGTTCAAGATCCTCATTCTCACCTTCAAATCCCCCATCCCTCTATGACCTCCTTCAACATTACCAACCTAGTTTTATCCATTATACCCTCGCTCTTTGGAACTTCATCTTCAAGTCTCTCTGACTCACTCCCTCCCTCACCTCATTCAAAGTCCAACTCAAACCTTTGACCTTTACCCTCTCCACCCCTGTGGCTCTAACCCCTTGCTTGGGTGCCCAGCCAGCAACGTCAAGTGCTTTGAGACACCCTTCCAATGTTAAAGGCGCTATATAAATGTGAATTGCATTTTTTTGCAAGCAAAAGCTCTAATAGTTTAATAATAGCCCTAACTAGATGGTCCTAGTTGAAGAAGCAGTGGGAAGTTTTCCAGACAGTGCTGTCAGTGGCAAACTATGCATTTTCTAGCTGGTTAGATCTCAGCAGTACTCAAAACACACTCTGGGGTCCACAAGCCCTGACTCTCGCTAAACTGCAACTAATTCCCTCCTGAATTAGATAAGTAGGAAGCGTCCCTCCGGATACAGGAAAGTTTCCCTCGAGCATTGAAAACCCTGACAGTAGACCACAAGATGTAATACTGTTTTGTAGTTCACATGACTATTGCTCATCAGCTCCAAAGCACAGAAGGCAATTGTATCCAATTAACTATTTCTCGAGCAAACAGCGAACTAACAAAAATAAGAGCAAGATGAATCTATAATCTGTCTCAACAAATTTTGTTACATTTGCTACTGAATTGATAAACCTAGTTTCCAAATGAAACTTGAATCATTAAAGATAACTATTATAGTATACAGACCTCTCCGGATTATGATCACTGCATCAACACAGTAGTAGATGGGGAGAGCTCACCACATCGTGGGTAAATCAAGAATGCACAATCTTGCAATTCACTGGAGCATCTGACTCCTGATGAGTTGATCAGGCCTCCAGAACTGTAATGGGATCTGACAGACAGCATCAGGAGCTGTTCAGCTGACTGAAGAAATTATAACTTTGAGCAATACAAAAAGTAGATTGTTGGAGAAGAATGCAATGTGATCTTGTTTCAGAAAACTTGTGTGTTTCAATTCTCTGCATTAAAGCAAATCATTGTAATAATTTTCACTCCAGCTGGTCTGGGTTAAGAGAATGCTTATGCTGTTTTTATAACATGCATTAATATATTAAAAATATGAAATAAATGAAACTTTATTTATTGGAGGATACATTAAAAGTACAAAGTTATGGTGTCTGATAAGGTATCTGATTGCAAGAATGTTGAGTCGAATATTAAAACTGAGACACATTGTTCTTTTAAATATCCAATTAACTTAAACAAAATTTAAGGTTCAGAAATCTCGCAAACATCCTTGACTAAAACGACACTAGTGCAGTCTTAAGGAATATCTTTCACCTTCCTTCAAGTATCGATTTTATCAATAAACTTTCAGGTAATGAAAACTAAGAATTGTATTGGATCAGAACTTTTTTCACTTTAAAAAAATTCTTAAGCATATATATGAGACTCTTTCAACTTAATTTCATTCTTGTGACCTATTAGATTAATCTCAGCAAAATGGTAGCCATAATTTTAATCAGGAAAATATAATAATAGCAAAATATAATAGCAAAACGGAATCTCAACATGTTAACTGAATTGAGGGTCATTGAGAAATCAGTATTGTACGTGTCTCTAGAGCAATCAAAGTCTTGTAGATACTCAGTTTAGAATATTACGCAGCAATGTAGCAGTAGTCAATACTGACATTGAGTATGACAATTTAGCAGTTGCTGCTGGAAAAAAAACACAAAGGTAAGTTCAGTTTAGATGTATAGCTCAAAGAGTCTTTTTGTCTAACATAGGTTGATTGCACAGCGTTTTTATAAATCAGCATTCCAACCCAAGCATTTATTTTAGCAATTAGTGTGGATATGGTGGAATTCCTATTAGTAAATTAATTTCATTTTTAATCTACAGATCTATGCCTTAGGGACCCTGTTTGTAATTTGTGGGACATTGCTGTGGGGAAATTGGCTGCTGCATTCACCTGCAGTTGAAATCCTGTGATGTACTTTGAGAGAATGCTTTTTCGAGGATTTTTTAATGTGTGTAGTGAATATCTATTTTAGGAACAAATCACTTGTGATTTCGGAACACTACCCATAGTCTAGGCTTACATTCTGGAGAGAGACGATTGTTAGAAGTGCAATCCTTCGCATGGGATATCAAACCGATTCTGTTCACCTATTCTCAAGTGGATGTGAATGATTGTACATTTTACACCTTTGTGAAAAGAGAAGAGACTTTCTCATCATCATTCGCAATGGCTCTTTGCTAGATTTTGTAGGGAACAAAGTGGCTGTCATACTCGCTTCCNAAAAAAATTGCTTAACAAACTTACTACAAAATGGTTTGTGAAGTTTCTCAAAGTAAGGCTCTGCATAAATCATTTATTTTATTATCCTTTGATGATTAACGCCAGGTTTCTATTCTGTAATTACCTGGAACCTCTGAGGTAGGAAATCATCAGAACACTCATATTTTTTTAAATATATTTTCATTAGAACAATAAACGTGGACCATATCAAAAGTGCCCTAAATTTTGTACCATCTCCCAGCTTAACTGCTGAGAAACCTGGTGAGAAATCTCACTTCAGATTTGTGCTGAAAATGTGTTGAGCTGGCCCGGTTCTGTTCCCTGTGGTTTGCCTATATGACAGCATTCGCTTAATTTATAATTAATCTCACTTTGTGAAGTGCTTCAAGATATTCTTCAATGGAAAAAAGGGGCTATGTAAATCTAAAAAGTTGATATTGTTCCCATTATTCTTGTCTCAATCACCAAATGGAAAAAAAAAAAGGTTCTAAAATATGATGATTTAAATTTTAATTATGTCAATCATGTGAAAGGCATGAAATCAGTGGCACAATATCAAACATAAGGATTATCATAAATATTTTACATACTGCTAGTTTAATGATGATGGAGTAAAATACATTTTCAAAAGCAAATGGTGTTAAAAAATTGTTTGCTCAGGCCGGTGGTGCTCAACCTTTTTGGTCATCTTTTATTTACGAAATAAATTTTCTTGATTGAATACTTCTCGAGTCTGCAATCAAGGAGAACCTGGGAAACACACTATCGGTTGAACATAGACTTACCTGGAATAATGCGAATATTCAGGAGGGGGAGGGAGGGTTACTTCTTGATGGATCATGGGCCACTTGCGGCCCACTGGCTGGCCATGACCGCTCCAGGCTGTGTGGTGTCATTCTGATTTGATTCATAAAGGCTTTTAGTAGTCATGGAAACTCAGATCTTCATGTTCATGTGCACTGCAACATCTGAGAAATTATTAATACAGTATTAAATCTTGTAAACTAGCGGAATGGATAGAATGCAGGATATAATCACCAGGTCACAGGGTTCCCAATTTCATCATGATGGTGAGAGGAAGCAGTTAGTGGAGGAGGGAGTGAAGACAAGAGTCCTTTTTGATTTGCTTCAATTTATCTCCAGTGATGAGCTCAGATTAGCAACTGACAGAGGCCGAGGAGAGATTGCCTGCTCCCTTTGTTCAAAGAATTACAAATAATTACAGCACAGAAGGAGACCATTCGGCCCATCGAGTCCACACCTGCTCTCAAAGCAAGGTGTGCATTGAATCCCACTGCCCTGCCCTATCCCATACCCCTTCAAGCCTCTATCCTTTGTATACTGACTGCTTTCCTCCCTCAACAGACAGTGCCTTTACCACCTTACATGGCAGGGCATTCCACATCCCAACAACTTTGAATGAAAACATTTTGCCTAGGCTCTCCTTTTGCTTTTCTTGTGATGATCTTATAACCGTGGTCCCTTGTCATTGACTCCTGTAATAATAATAATCCTTGCATTTGGTATAGCGCTTTATCACGTCTTCGAGACATCTCAAAGCGCTTCACAAAATATACCGTAAAGTGAGTTGAGTGTATATTTTGTGGGCGACACACAGCAGCCAATTGCTCACAGCCGTGTCCCACAAACAGTCATGAATTGAGTGACCAGTTTTTTTTAAGTAGAATTTTTTTAAATGGTAGAAGCAGCGACTTAAAGGCCTGATGCCCGACATTTTTCAAAGTTAATGCCAAGATAGCTAATGGAGACCAAGCGATAAAATGAAAAGCAAACTTAAAATCCTGACATCCTTCACCCAATATTCAGACGAGTGTGTTTTCAGACAAATACTCCTGGATAGTGATCAGCAGTGCCCCCTCCTGGTGCCTACATTGAGATCAAAGAAATGCACAGAGCAGGAATCAAACTTGGGACCCACAGTAGTCGATTCCCCACGTGGCTGTGACTTTATCCATCGAGCGATCGACGGGGAAGGAAATACCTATAATAATCTTTGCATTTGATACTGCACCTCATCACATCATTGAGATGTCTCAAAGCTCAAAGGAAAGTGCAGGAAAGGAATTTATATTCCTGTTCGTGAATACCTTTGCATTTGACACAACTGCCGCGTGGAAGCAACTCAAAGTTCCGAATTAAACAGGTTAGTAAAATACAACGCAGAGAGAGAGAGCGCGGAAACAACGGGCAAAACCGGTCCACAGGGGTAAAACATTCCTTGCATTGGCCGGGAATCGAACCCGGGCCTCCCGCGTGGCAGGCGAGAATTCTACCACTGAACCACCAATGCACTGAATAAACTCAGTCTCTCTAGCTGGAGGCTAGAATGTTTCACGCTGGAAATTTCTAAGTGAGAATTAAATACCAAATGTATTATTGTGACTTGAAGCCCGTGTTTGCCTCACTTTGTAGATTTTGCGCTCTCGTGCGAACACATTTGTGTTAAGGTTTTCAATTTAATTCATCCAAAGACCAACGACGACAACTGTTTTGATGTGACGCGATGTTTGAGATGTGTTGCTGTTTGAAAAGAGAAAGGAGTTGCTCGGGATCTCCTGGTCAAAAATATGCCGAATAAAAAAAAAATTGGTCCCTGAATTTATCAAATGCAAGGATTAGTATCATTGGTAATCCTCCTCGACTTCCAGCAAAGTCTCCTCACTTTCGTCTCTGATCCGAGACGCTGCCTCGGTCGCAGGGCACGATATAAATACAAGTTGTTGTTGTTGTTGTTGATCTCAATCTGTCTGGCCTCTCCCCCAAACTCACCGAATCTTCCTCATAGTTCGTCCATGACCAAGACTACCTTTCTTCATCTCTGACGCAATTGGCTGCCACGTTTCACCCGCAAAATATTCTGAAATTCACTTTCAGGAGTACAACAGCAACAATTTACAAAAATAATAATTCTTTCATTTGATATAATAATAATAATAATCCTTGCAATTAATACAGCGCTTCATCACATCGCTGCAACGTCTCAAAGCGCTTCACAGAATATACTGTAAAATGAATTGACTGTATATTTTGTGAGCGATAGATAACTTGCATTTATATAGCGCTCTTCACTTTGAATAACATCTTGGAGCACTGTACAGTGGTAGGATTGGACATTGAGAAAGGGAGAAGGAGGAAGGGACCTCAGGCAAATTTGAAGAGGTAGGTTTTGATGTGGGATTTACATATAGGTTAACCGAGCAAGGTGGAGGAATTAAAGCATGGAGTTCCAGAAGTTAGGGAGTAATTGTCATGTCCATTGGAGGTCATCTCCTCTTGCTGTGAGCATAGAATATTGGACTTCTATTGCAGCTTCTGAATTTCTCCGTAATGGTTTTCTTAAAGAGTTAAAGCCAGGATTATAGTAGCAGCTTGCACTTTGGATCCAAATGTTTCTGTTGTTACAGAGAGAATATTCATGAAAATGCTCCCAATCTGTCTATGGTTGACTTCACTGCACTACAGGTGTCACTGGTGTTCACATATCCTCAATGATGGATTGTGGCATGCAATGCTACAATAATAAATTGGTCACTTCAATCCACGACTGTTTGTGGGACACTGCTGTGCGCTATTGGCTGCCGCGTTTCGCCCACAAATATATAGTCAATTCACTTTATAGTATATTCTGTGAAGCGCTTTAAGTCATCTAGAAGACATGAAAAGTGCTATATCAAATGCAAGGATTATTGTTATTACATATTATTCATTCGAGATTATTATGTGTACCTTGACCAGTTGACTCTGCATTACTTAGTTAGACTGTTCAAAATTGAGATGCACCGCAGTAACTTATCAGCACATAGGAGGGCTTGTGGGCTTGTGCACTACCAACTTCGTTTGAAAGCAGACTCAATAAGGTCTTGCTCCTTATTGCAACTCATCTGTAAATACAGAGGCTGTTAAACCCCCACCTATGTCAATTGGCCCTTCCTCATCTATTGCTGCTGACATCCGACAAGCTCAAGTTTGAACTACTTGAATGGCAGATACCAGGAACTCCCTGCAAGCTTCCTGGTGGACAACACAGCTCAGTATGAAATGCATAAGAGCATTGACATCATCTTCCTGCCCACAGCTTGGACACAAATCCCTTCCCATTGAGTGATGGTTCCACCAGTTGGCGGTGTAGATCTTAAGCAGCAGATCCTTGCCTCTCTGCAAGCCAATCAAGATTTTAAGAGCTGGATGTATAATGTGTGTTTACAAACGTGGATTCCAGATAACACCTTCCAGCAGCTGTCGTCCCAAGCCTCAGTTTGCTGAACAATTATCTGACGGACATCTTCCTTCAGCGTGGTGGGAGAATTTTCACAGCACAGCTTATGATGTGCTAGCCACCTTGATGTTCTTGTGATCCAAGTCCAATGCAGCAACAGAGGGTTTGGTAAATAGGCTTGCCTGTTGTGAAGCCAACTCTGCCTCAGCGGTGCTCAGTAACAAGTTGGTGTAGGTCAGAGCCCTCTCTCCCTGCAGCCAAAATGGGCCAGAGGAAGTCCCTCCTTTGCATGCCCAGAACTTGGATCCATGAAGGAGAACTATTTGAACTATTATATACCGCAATGATGTGCATTGGGACCTTGCTGTCCTTGAAGAGAATGACCAGAGTGTCCTTTTCCCTTCTCTGTGCAGTCTTTCAAGACAGTGACCAGCAGAAATTGGTGTCAACCATATCCCTCCCCAAGTACAACAACAACAACAAGATTTCATTTATAGAACGCCTTTCACGTCGGGAGGATGTCCCAAGGCGCTGGACAGTTGGGTCAGGATTGTATTGTGAAGAACCAACAATTAGGCTGATGCCCCTTGTATTTTCCAATCAATACCCTCAATGTCTTCTCTTGAGCCACGTAGAACCATTATTCTGTACTTGGGGGCGCCCACCACCATGTCTCACAGGTGGGCCGACCCTTTTTAACAGGATTTTGCCCTTCTATTTGCAGACAATATTATGATGCCTCATAATGAGGTCTCATCTGGGGACATTTTACACTGCACCTGCCATCTTGAACATTGTTTCTTCCTTACCAGTGCCTGACACCAGTGGAGAGGACAATTACATGCTAATTAGAAATAAGGAAGAAAAATCTTACATTTCTTCAGTACATTATACAACAACTTGCATTTCTATAGTCCCCTTCACATAGGATAATATCTTGCTTTACGCTGATGGTGGCAGACCCAGACCCCAAGACGTGAGGATGGGGAAGTAACACTAGGCACAGTCATAAATGGGGAGATAAAGAGTGAGACAGAACAATTGAGGGAGAGTATAATAATCCAAAGTAAGAGTGTGATCAACGTTTCTTTGTTTGCTACTCAAAATACTCCAATCCACTCACCATAACAACACCAATTTGTTCCACTCAAGTGTCCTTTTGTATTTCATGTCTTTATCCCATTGGCTCTTTAATTGTCTTTTAACTCGTAAAGTGATACTATGGAAGGAGTTCTGGAGATTAGGGATGTACAATTAGAAAGTTTGGCCATCAAAGGTGGTGTGGGTAGGGCGGGGTACAGCAAGCTCGCGCTAGCTGATCAGATCAGAACAGAGGGGTGGGATAGGAGATCGGAGAGAAAGCAAGGTGCTAGAGGAGATTTGTAGGTGAGGATCTTGAAATGGGTCCATTAGAGAGACAGTGGAGCCTGCTGAGGACTGAAGCGATGGGATACAGTTTAGTGTGGATGAGGATGCAGAGTTTAGGATAAATTGAAGTTGCACAAAGTAGAACTTGGGAGAACAGCGAAGAGCGTATCAGAAAACAATGATCAGGAGGACACCGTGGGGGTCTGCCCTACGGTATTACTTATGAAGAGCTTGCCTTGATGTGCAGAGTTGAGTTAGGAGCTATCCCATACAACAACAACAACAACAAGATTCCATTTATTGAGCGCCTTTCACGTTGGGAGGACGTCCCAAGGCGCTGTACAGTTGGGTCAGGACCCGAGCAGGGGGGAAATGGTCAGGGTGAGGGGAGGGAAGGGAGGGAGCGAGGAGGGGGGAAATGGTCAGGGTGAGGGGAGGGAAGGGAGGGAGCGAGGAGGGGAGAAATGGTCAGGGTGAGGGGAGGGAAGGGAGGGAACGAGGACGGGGTAGAGAGTCGAGAGGGGAGCTGAAGGCTCGGTCAAAGAGAAAGGTCTTGAGACCAGCCTTGAAGGAGGAAAGGGAGGAGGCGGCGAAGGCACTGGGGGATAGAGTTCCAGAGCCTCGGGGCTGAGAGGCTGAAGGCCCGGCCACCGATGGTAGGGCGGTTGGGGCGGGGGATGTGGAGCAGACCGGAGCCAGAGGAACGGAGGGTACGGGCAGGTAGGTAGGGGGATAGTAGGTCGGAGAGGTAGGAGGGAGCGAGGCCGTGAATGGCCTTGTAGGTGAGGATGAGGATCTTGAATTCGATCCTCTGGGGGATGGGGAGCCAGTGGAGGCGAGCGAGGGTGGGAGTGATGTGGTCCCGAAGCCTGGTGCGGGACAGTACACGAGCTGCAGAGTTCTGAATGACCTGCAGCTTGTGGAGGGAGGTGGCGGGAAGGCCGGCGAGGAGAGAGTTCCCATAGTCCAGCCTTGAGGTGATAAAGGCGTGGACCAGGGTTTCAGCAGCGTGAGGGGTGAGGTAGTGCCGTAGTCTGGCGATGTTCCGGAGGTGATGGAAGGCGGTGCCAGTTGTGGTGCGGATATGAGGGAGAAAGGACAGCTCAGGGTCGAACAGAACCCGAGGTTCCTGACTGGCTTTGAGAGGTGGAGAGTGCAGCCTTGGATGCTGATGCTGTCAGCGCCTGAGGTGCGGAGGCGCTGACGTGAGCCAATCAGGAGGGCCTCAGTTTTACGCACGTTGAGCTGAAGAAAGTTGTCTCTCGTCCAGGACTCGATGTCGGACAGGCAGCTGTCAGGACATCGGTGGTCGTGGAGTTGAGGGTAGAGGAGGAAAGGTAGAGTTGGGTGTCATCCGCATACATGTGGAAGTTAACCCCATGTCTGCGGATGATGTCACCACAGGGGGAGCATATAGAGGGTGAAGAGGAGGGGACCGAGGACAGAGCCCTGAGGGACACCGCACGAGACAGTGCGGGGGCCGGAGGAAAAGCCGTTTGTAGAAACAAAATGAAGACGGTGGGAGAGGTACGACCTAAACCACTCAAGGACAGGGCCTTGAAGGTTGAGGTGGGAGGACAAGCGGTGGAGGAGGATAGCGTGGTCGACCGTATCGAATGCTGCCGATAGGTCGAGGAGGACGAGGAGGCAGAGGGAGCCCTGGTCACAGATGGTCAGGATGTCATTGGTGACCTTGACCAGGGCAGTTTCTGTGCTATGGGCAGCACGGAAACCCGACTGAAGGGGTTCGAATAATGAATGGGTGGAGAGGAAAGAGCGCAGCTGGGAGGCGACAACTCGTTCCAGGACCTTGGACAGGAAGGGGAGGTTGGAGATGGGCCGGTAGCTTGATAGCTGCGACGCATCAAGGGAGGGTTTTTTCAAGGTGGGAGTGATGGTGGCAGTTTTTAAGGGAATGGGAACAGAGCCAGAGGAGAGGGACAGGTTGACGATGTCTGTGATATGTGGGGCAAGGAGGTGGAGCTGGGAGATAAGGAGTGGAGTGGGGATGGGGTCAAGGGAGCAGGTGGTGGGTTTCAGGGATAGGATGAGTTTGGTGACAGAGGGTGGGGAAACGGGTACGAAAGTGTGTAGGGGAGGATGGGTAGGAGTCGGAGTGTGGGAGGGAGGGGTGGGGGGTGGGTGGATGTTGGAGGGGAAGTGACCGCGGAGCGAATTCCCTTGATTTTGGATTCAAGGAAATCCAGCATCTCCTCGCAGTGAAGGTTGGAGGAGATGACCTGCGCGGGGTGGCGCGGGGGACGGAGGAGTCGGGATGTGGTAGAGAACAGTAGCCTGGGGTTGTCCTTCGCCTCCAGGATTATCCTGGAGTAGAAGGACGATTTGGCCGAGGCTAGAGTGGAGCGGTAGATTTTGAGGAGGTCCAGCCAGATTTGTCGGTGGACCGTTAGGCCAGATTTGACCAGGTGCATTCAGCGGCCCACACCTGGCTCTTCAGTGAGCGGAGGTGGGTGGTGAACCAGGGGGAGGAGCGAGAGTAGGAGACAGTATGGGAGGTGATGGGGGCAAGAGTGTCAAGTGTGGAGGAGAGGGTGTTGTGGAGGAGGGTGAGAGCAGAAGAGGGGTCAGTGAGGGTTGAAGGCCAGAGGGAGAGGAGTTCAGAGGACTCCAAGGCAGCGGTTAGGGATTGAGGGGGTAATTTCTTCCAGGGGCGGTAGAAGATGGTGGTGGGTCTGGTGGAGGTGGGTGGAGGTGGTGAAGGAGATGAAGTGGACCATACTGCAGGCTGGTCCAACCTTTTGGATGTCATTGGCCGGATTCCCTACTTGAGAGTGAGTGAGCCCAGGCGGTGGGGGGGGTGGAGTGAGTGAGCCCAGGCGGGGGGGGGGGAGTGAGTGAGCCCAGGCGGGGGGTGGGGTAGTGAGCCCAGGTGGGGGGGGGGGGGAGGGAGTGAGCCCAGGTGCGGGGGGGGGGGGGAGTGAGCCCAGGCGGTGGGGGGGGAGTGAGCCCAGGCGGGGGGGGGGAGTGAGTGAGCCCAGGTGGGGGGGGGGGGGAGGGAGTGAGCCCAGGCGGGGGGGGGGGAGTGAGCCCGGGCGGGGGGGGGGGGGGAGTGAGCCCAGGGGGGGGGGGGGGGGGAGTGAGCCCGGGTGGGGGGGGGGAGTGAGCCCGGGTGGGGGGGGGGGGGGGGAGTGAGCCCGGGTGGGGGGGGGGGGAGGGAGTGAGCCCAGGTGGGGGGGGGGAGGGAGTGAGCCCAGGTGGGGGGGGGGGGGGAGTGGCCCGGGGGGGGGGGGGGGGGGGAGTGAGCCCAGGTGGGGGGGGGGGGGAGTGAGCCCAGGCGGGTGGGGGAGTGAGTGAGCCCGGGTGGGGGGGGGGGGGAGTGAGCCCAGGCGGGTGGGGGGGGGGGAGTGAGTGAGCCCAGGTGGGGGGGGGGGGGGAGTGAGCCCAGGCGGGGGGGGGGGGGGGAGTGAGCCCAGGTGGGGGGGGGGGGAGGGAGTGAGCCCGGGTGGGGGGGGGGGGGAGGGAGTGAGCCCAGGTGGGGGGGGGGGGGGAGTGAGCCCGGGTGGGGGGGGGGGGGAGGGAGTGAGCCCGGGTGGGGGGGGGGGGAGGGAGTGAGCCCAGGTGGGGGGGGGGGGGGAGTGAGCCCAGGTGGGGGGGGGGGGGGGAGTGAGCCCGGGTGGGGGGGGGGGGAGGGAGTGAGCCCAGGTGGGGGGGGGGGGGGAGTGAGCCCGGGTGGGGGGGGGGGGAGGGAGTGAGCCCGGGTGGGGGGGGGGGGGAGGGAGTGAGCCCAGGTGGGGGGGGGGGGGGGAGTGAGCCCGGGTGGGGGGGGGGGGGGAGTGAGCCCAGGTGGGGGGGGGGGGAGTGAGCCCAGGCGGGGGGGGGGGGGGGGGAGTGAGCCCAGGTGGGGGGGGGGGGGGCGTGTCTCGGGTGTTACTAGCGGCCGTTACCAGGGGAGAGACAATCACCAAGTACAACCAAACCTGTTAGCGCAAAGCCAATCAGAACGTCTGTTCGGCTCCTCTAATCCAATTGGAGGCGGTCGGGCTTGTACTTCCGGTATGAAGCTTGGTCGACGTGTGCGAGGCGCTAACACACACATAGAGACACATAGAGAGAGAGACACACACACAGGGATAGAGAGACACACATAGAGACACACACAGATACACAGAGACGCACATGGACACACATACATAGACACACACACATACATAGACACACACAGATACATAGACACACACAGATACATAGAGACACACACATACATATAGAGACAGACACACAGAGAGACACAGAGATAGAGAGAGACACACACAGAGACACAGCCACACACACACACACACGGGCAGAGAGAGAAACACTGAGTGACACTCACACACACACACAGAGATAGAGGAACAGAGGGAGAGGACACAGACAGACAGACAGACAGACACAGAGGGTCGGTTGGTTGGTTGGTTGCAGCGGCAGCTCTCTATGGTAAGTCAGTGAGTGGTGGAGCAGCACAATGGAGGTCAGTCAGTCAGTCACTGGCCTCGGGGGCTCCATTTAGAACAGTTTGCTGTTAGGGTTGAGCCTCTCCCCCCCTCCCCTCCCCTCCAGCCTGACACCCCTCACACTGGCCTGACCCAGACCTGGGCCGGGCTGGGCTGGTGGGGTGGGGTGGGCTGGGGGGGTGGGCTGGGCTGCTGGGGGCTGGGGTGGGGTGGTGGGCTGGGGTGGGCCGGGCTGGGGTGTGGTGGGCTGGGGTGCTGGGCTGGGGTGGGGTGGGGGGCTGGGGTGGGCCGGGCTGGGGTGTGGTGGGCTGGGGTGCTGGGCTGGGGTGGGGTGGGGGCTGGGGTGGGCCGGGCTGGGGTGTGGTGGGCTGGGGTGCTGGGCTGGGGTGGGGTGGGGGGCTGGGGTGGGCCGGGCTGGGGTGTGGTGGGCTGGGGTGCTGGGCTGGGGTGGGGTGGGGGGCTGGGGTGGGCTGGGGTGGGCTGGGGGGCCTGGGGTGGGCTGGGGTGGGCTGGGGTGGGGGGCTGGGCTGGGGTGGGCTGGGGGGCCTGGGGTGGGGGGGGCTGGGCTGGGGGGCTGGGCTGGTGGGCTGTGGGCTGGGGGGCTGGGCCGGGGTGGGCTGGGGTGGGGTGGGCTGGGGTGGGCTGGGGGGCTGGGGTGGGGTGGGCTGGGGGGCTGGGGTGGGGTGGGCTGGTGGGCTGGGGTGGGGTGATGGGGGAGCAGGGATAGGCCTCACCCAGCAGCACTGTGTCCTGACACAGCTCCACAGAGACAGACAGACACACAGAGAGAGACACAGAGAGAGACAGACACACCCCCGGGGTCAGAGCCTCGGGGGTTAGTGTCTCTGCTGCAGTCTTTGTGTGATCTGCTTTACTGTGTGTCCTTAATGTTACAGCGTTCACAGGAATACGGTTCAGTCGGTTACATAAATTTCCTCTTAATCGCATTGCAAAAGGGAGGCATTGCTCGTAATTAATTATTCTTATTATTCACGACTTGTTTTCTTTTTAAAAAAAATCCAATTGTGGCAAAGGCAGTAACTTCACCACCAACGGGTTCCTCCTAACTGTGGGTTGTTGTTAAAATGAACAGTGTGCGTTCAGGTGTGAGGACTGTCATGTTGTGACACAGGCTGAATAAACTGCAAGAAAACTGCAAATGTTCAAAAAAAATACTTTTTAAAAAAAACTTTGATATGTTACTCACAGTCTGTAGATGGATATCAATGTCTAATGTGCTCATTGCTTGAATTCATTTGTTTTTAAGTTCAGAATGCTGTCTGTATACAAGTGTTGGCTTTATTAAACCAGACAATTTCAACTTTTAAATTCAAGGGGGATGTGGGGGCATTGTAAAGGTGAATTATTATACTGTGCCAATCTCATAGTCTTTAAGAGTGTGTGTATTTGTATTCAGAAATATAATAATGCAAGATAACAAACCATGTCTTATATCGTAAAAGGCAGCTGAATTCAGTATAAATGTTCATAACAGTTTTGCAATGGTGAATATGTTGCCTGAAGGATATGGAGCTCATTAATAGCGTAGGATATGTGGAGTAATACTGTAATTGTACATGAGTTGTGTGTAACTGTTTTTGATCCACACTGCATTTCTTTATTGGCAAGCTCTAACACAACAGAACCTGAGAACAAATGTACAACGCTAAGGAGATTTGCGAAGGTAGGATCAAATAGTTGAGTTCATTGGTGTTTCTTGTGATCTGGAGATTCGTACTGTGAAGTCTATGTAAATAAAAATAATCCTTGTATTTGATAAAGTACTTTATCATGTCTTTAAGACTTTATTCTGAGTTTGAGTGCTTGATAGGATGCATCAACCTTTGGGGGAAGAGCAACTATTTATCTAATTCTGAGGGGAATTAGCTTAATATCAGTTTGATTGTGGTGATGACAGATGGAAATCAGAGAAAACTTTTTGCGCTACAGAAATAATTCATAAAGGGATTATAACACTTGCCCTTCTATGAAACCGTACACATTAATTTTGAAATTACAGATTGAGAATTAAATTTGAATTAATTAATTTTGCTGTAGGCTTCATTCTAACATGAAGTCCTGCACAAAAGATCTAATTGATCCTTGGTTTGGTCTTCTATAAAATTCTGTAAATTTAATAAGGAACGAAACACTGGTTGTCCAGCGCCTTAGGATGACCTCCAAATGTGAAAGGTGCTATACAAATATAATTTTGTTGTTGTTATTTTGAGATGTCAGTGGTCTATGTTTAAAATATTTTGTGGTAACGGAACAATAACCATTTATTAAATGTTCCGACTTGAGTTTGCATTATTAAAGTAAACGTTTGCTTTTTATTCTTCCAGCATGAGCATGAACATCTTTTATCTGGAATATTATGGATAAATACATTAAGGTGAACAAAATTGGAGAAGGATCATTTGGAATAGCCATTCTTGTCAAAGCAAAGGAAGGTGGCAAGCAATATGTTATTAAAGAGATCAATATCTTACGGGTGAGTGAAACTTGTGGTTTGTTGATTAAAGGACGAGCCAAAGTCAAGTTTGTGAAAGGCTGTCCTGATATATGTTTTTTCCCTCTGTTCAAAGATGTCCAATAAAGAAAGGGAGGAATCGAGACGAGAAGTTGCTGTGTTGGCAAACATGAAACATCCAAACATTGTACAATATAGAGAATCTTTTGAAGGTGAGAAATCTTGAGTGATGAAAGGAAGTTTGAAATTGAAACTTTGCAGTCCGAGCTTGTTTTCTCAGATATAGGTTTGTTCACTGGTAGGTTTCTGATCCTGATTTGCAGTTACTGTTTTTGCTCCAAGTAAGAACATGTTAATTGACATGTTTAATTAAACCATGAATTAAGAACATTTGAGAAAAAATGTAAAATGTTTTTTATCAACTACTTTGTGGAACTCGTAATACGAAAACTGGGTGTGTGATCGTGCGCTTAAGGAAGAATAATTGTCACCTTTACTGGAGTGCCTGTCTGTCATTTTTGCATATACTGTATTTGTGTTGTAAAATCAGGAATCAGTGATTCAAGACGGTTTGGGCTGCTCATCGCTGTCCCTATTTTTTTCTAAATGTAAAGGAAACATAAGTATGGTTTAACTGTTTGAATAAATCTAATTGAAATATTTGTTTGTTCAACAGAAAGTGGCTGCCTTTATATAGTTATGGATTATTGTGAAGGTGGTGATCTTTTCAAACGGATTAATACACAGAAAGGAGTTTTATTCTCTGAGGATCAGGTAAGAACTATTAGAACGTCAGATGTTCATAGCTCCTGAAAATAATTTCATTCTACTTTCAGGAGCAAGGAAACTTGTATAGTGCTCTCTTTGGTTCATTCTGTGATGTGCTGAATGTGTTAGTGTGAATTTGTTCCAGCAGTAACTTTAAAATATTACATTTAGATTACAAGAGAACAAGTGGATTTTTCTTATCATACAGAAATAAGATAACTTTACTTCTGAACTATTTACATAGGATATCGAGGACCGAAACAGGACATATGGCTCAAATAATCTGTTTGTTTTCCACAACCATCCTAATTTTCCCCTTCGTAGACTCCCCATATTACCCCATCCCTTGATTTTCTTGTTTGCATTAAGTTTCCTCTTAAAGTTAATAATTTCTACCTTTTATCCCAAGTGCATTGTTTTTGACCGCATTTCCTATAAATGGTGTTCCTGAAGGAAAGAAAAGAGACAAAGACTTAAAGAAAACTGGAAACAAAAGGAAAATTGTACAGAGTAATTTGAGGCAAATTAACCTTTTTTTAAAGTTTACTCATCCTTGTATCCCGGGTGACCTAGTGAGCATGAGGAGTGAATGTGGTGCTGTGTAGCTGGCTGACTCCCCACAGTAGGTGTGTCTAACTTACTGAGTTGAGGGGGGTTGGTGAGCTGTATGGCCATCAGTGAGAACTTTTTTTTAATTGTTGGAAACCCTTCATCATATTTTAGACTCCAGACTCGTAGTACCACACATGTGTGCCACCTCAACATGGAAAGGAGGGAGTACCCTGATTACAATACAATTTGTGCAATTCGCCCACAAAATATACAGTCAGTTCACTTTACAGTGTATGCTGTGAAGAACTTTGAGACATCTCAACGATGTGATCAGGTGCTACATAAATGGCAATGATTATTATTATAAATTAATTTGATATAACCTGGAGAACATTAATAATAATAATAATCCTTGCATTTGATATAGTGCTTTTTACGTCGGGAGGACGTCCCAAAGTGCTTCACAGAACACACTGTAAAGTGAATTGACTGTATATTTGTGGGCGAACGCGGCAGCCAATTGCGCACAGCAATGTCCCACAAACAGTCGTAGATTGAAAATGACCAATTTATTATTGTTTTTGGAGGGATTATTATTAGGAGTGTGGAGTAAGGAAACTTGCCCAAGGTTTCGCCCTCTGCCTGGAATTGAACTCAGGTCCCTCACTTGCAAAGCGAGTGCTCTAACCACTGAGCTACAGGACTCTTGATGCAGGTGGACAAGAGCCAAGGCTTGGGAACCCCAGATTGTGTGTTGAGCTACTGCTGGAGTTTAACCATCTAAAATTGAATAGCTTGCCATTGAGCCCATGCTTGGTAAGATTTCCTGTTGCTTATCCAACTGATCCTATGGGTTAGGGCTTTGTCATGCAAAGTTAGCAAGAGCTGAGTGGAAGTATCCATGCTCCCAGTGACCGATCTGCCTGATGACAAATCAGACTGGCTAGGCTGCTGTTAGCAGTGCCCAGGAATACTGCAGACCTACCTTGGTCAGGAACCAAACCACTGAGACCACCACAGATTGACTGAATATTTTACAGCATACAAGCATCTAATATTCTCCAGGTTTACCACAGGCAAGCACCTCGGAGGCAAATCAATATTATAGTGGATAGTTGAGGTTCCACTGTTCCTTTTTTAAAAAAAAGTCTTATTGCTTTTTTTTTCTCTTTGTTACTAGATCATGGATTGGTTTGTGCAAATCTGCATGGCCTTGAAACATGTGCATGATAGAAAGATTCTCCACAGAGATATAAAGTCACAGGTATTCATTGTTTGTATACCAATATCTTCAAGACTATTTTAAGACAGGTGTATTTTCAGCAATGTGGCGAATAACCTGTTGTGTTGCGCATTCATTAAACATGCTTCCTTTTCGTGTTGAGATCTTCTTGAAATATTAAGCAACCTAAAAGGTATTTACCTGAACTTGACCCTGATTATGTGTTTAAAAACCTAGGACAAGGGAAACTGCAATCAAACTCAAAAGAGGGTGTGCAAATCGAGAGTTCAGATTTAATTACCTTAAAAGCAGAGTGGTCAATACGTGGATCAGATGACACGTGAGATGCTGAGGCAGTTTGTCAGCAAATTCAAGAAAGATTTAAGTAGCTATTTGGTGAAGAAATCAATTTTAAAGGGTTAATATAGGGAACGCTTTTCATTTATTACTTTGGAGCTTGCTGGTTAGGTGGATTGCAATGTTCTGATTCTGCACGTTCCTATAAGAGGAAGGAATTCTCATAAGGCATACTTCATTGTTGCATCTAAAGTCCTGTCTGCAATACCTCAAGGCCACATAATGTAATTGGATTGAATACATTCACGTAACCATTCATTTTGTTTATTCCATTAACACCAAAAAGAATACAATCCCTTTTTAAACAATATAAGTTCTTGTTTTACGTGCAAGTTTTTATTTCTGTACATCACTTTATATGCAATAAAAAATGCATTTTTATTCATTATTGAGCCTCTTGTATTGAGGTTAGAAAAGCTGGTGACCCTTTTCATCATCTACAGTCTCCTCCCTCAGCTGCATCAGCCACAGGCATAGAGTCCCCTTCCACTTGAACACAGATGACACCCAACACAATCTTTTGTCTCTATCCATCAAGGATGAGGCTGTTGTAATAGCGTCAGCCTTATCGATATCATTAGATATCGAGTCCTGGACAAGTCTTAACTTTATTCAACTCAATGTTGACATGATTGAGACAAACCTGCTTGGTTCCCATAAGCGCCTTCTTACTTTAAGCGCCGACTGTATCAAGCCACCTGATTGATCTCAATTTATGGACTCTGTGTGGAACTTTGTTGTTTTGTTTAACCCTCAATACCCCTTGAAACCTTTCATCTGGGTTCTGACCTGATCGCTTTCCTCCATCTCCACAAGTTCCAAACTATCCAGAGCTTTGCGGTCTCCATTCTTTCCCACAATAGATTCCATAAGCCCATACTCTCTCGGTTGCCCCATTTCTCAGTTTGGTCTCCAAATTGGATCTTTGTTTCCTTGGGTTTTAGTTTTTGTGGTGCTTCTTATCTCACCATCAATGTAAGATTTATTTCACTCTTGTTCCCTCAATAACAGTTCCACTGCAAGGGCTTGAAAGAAATTATCTGAAAGTTTTAATGAGAGACATCAATACTGAGAATAAAAACCATGAATTTGGCAAGACAAAAAAAAATGGCTTATCATTGTTTATAGCCCTCGTATGTTTCATATTTCCAGGAATAAACAGTCATATCTTCTAGAAATTATTTTCCAGAAAAGAAGTGCTGATAACTTCTCTGGATGGGGGCACTGTGACATCAAACCACTGACACATCATTTGACAGTTTGAACATTTGTGCTGAGAACAGTTTCAGATGTGAGGTATCCATTGCATTGTATAGTTTTTAGGGTTTAATTGCAACATTGTTTTCACCTACAAATCCATCCACTCCCTGAAACCTCCTTTTATCTCTCCAATCTTGTCCTACCCAACTCGTCCACTTGGTTAACTGGGGCTTGCTGTGCGTCTCCTATGATCTACTCACCACCATCGGTGGCCAAACCTTCAGTTCCTCTGCCCCTCATCTCTGGAGTTCCCTCCATCTCACCCCCTCTTTCTGTCAGTAAGCCCTGCCTCAAATCCAACCCCTTTGAATGTACCAAAGACCCCTCTACCCATGTTTGACTTCCAATCCCATCCCTGTAAAGCACTCTGGGATGCTAACCTATGTGAAGTGCATATGTTTTTGTTGAAAGCATTTTTCAAGACTGTTCAAAACCAATTTTAATTCTGAGGATGCAAAAGGGAGAAGGGATTTGAGGAGTTTAGGAGGGATGGAGACTCGTGAGGAGTATGAACACTGGCACAGACTAGTTGACCTTAATGGCCTGTTTCTTGACTAACATTTATAGAAGTCTATATAATTACATATATAGAATTGCTAGTCAAAAATGCAAAAATATTAAGACAATATTTTTTCAGTTTTATATCTTTCTGCATTTGTTCAGTCCTCTAATGTACATTTACTATGAATGAAGGGGAACAATTCTGACAATAGAGAAAGTTTTGCTGAACATGTAAAGTCACGTAGTGACATATTGCTCTGGTGGATATAAATAAAGGAGCAGATGAGATTCAAATACTCAAGGTTTAAAAATAAATTGCATTCAGAAAAACTTCAGAATTAGACAAGTAAGATGATGCACTGAAAAATATTAAGAGCTGGAAACCTAGTGTGCCAGAAACAGGAAAGGAATGATGATTTAGAGCACTGCTTGTGAAGGAATAATCTGCAACTGATAGGAATGCCTTGAGAGAAATGTAAACACATATTGAAAGTATCGGCTTGGCTGCATAGTCCTCTTTCCCGCGCCCCCATCACCATCTCCCCTTCCAACCCACCCAGACCATCCACATCACCTTCTCCCTCCGCCATGGCTCCTGCCACTCCCCCTCCTGCTGCCTTGAACTCTCCCCACCCAGCTGCTAGTCACTCAACTCCCCCTCCTGTCTCCCCTGCTGGCCGACACAGTTAACCAGTCTGTCTCCTTAGGCTCAGTTCCACTCCCACTGAAAACCGCTGTTATCACACCCCTCCTCAAAAAAAAACCCACCCTCGATCTCTCTTAATCTCTCACACTACCATCCCATCTCCAACCTACCCTTCCTTGCCAAAGTCCTGGAACACATTGTTGCAGGTCAACTTTGGTCACACCTCTCCCTCCGCTGCCTCCTCGAGTCCCTGCAGTCTGGTTTTTGCCCACAGCACAGAGACAGCGCTTGTCAAAGTCACAAACAACGTCCTCTCTATCTGTGACCGGGGCTCCCTCTGCCTCCTTGTCTTCCTGGATCTCTCTGCTGCGTTCCACACAATCGACCACACCATTCTCCTCCACCGCCTCTCCCCTCTTATCCATCTTAGTGGGATCACACTCGCATGGTTTGAGTCCTAATTAACCAACCGCCTCCATTTCATCTACGCAAATGGTTTCTCCTACCACCCCACCCGGTCACCTGCGGGGTACCCCAGGTTCCATCCTTGGTCCCCTTCTTTTCCTTACCTATAGGCTCCCTCTGGGCATTGTCATCCACAGACACTGGGTAAACTTCCACGTGTGTGCAGATGCCACACAAATCTACTTTGCTTCCTCCAATACCAATTCCAGGTTCGCCGATGTTCTATCTGCTTGTCTGGCATACGTCAGGGCCTGGATGAGTGCAAATTTTCTGCAGCTGAACGTGTACAAGACGGAAGCCTCTGTATAAAATATTCTGGCTCCTGTCAACGTCTTCACTCCTGTGGATCTAAACTCCTCAACCTCCCTGGGCTCTCCCTCAGACTCACCGAACCGGTGCGCAATCTAGGTGTCCAGTTTGACCTCCAGCTGTCCTTCCTCCCCCACATCCGCTCCCTGACCAGGATCGCCTTCCTTCACCACCACCACATTACCCGCCTCTGACCTTACCCCAAATGCAACCTAAGCCCTTGTGGATGAGTGTGTCACCTGCCGCCTGGATTACTCAAACGCATTCCTCGCCGGTCTCCGCAGCTCCACTATTCAAAAGATCCAGCTCATTCAGATCTCTGTCGCCCACATACTCTCCCTCAATCCCTCCGCGTTGCCCACTCTCCCGTTTTTCAAATCCCGCCTGAAAACTTTCCTCTTTGACCATGCTTACGGCCAACCTCCCCCCCACCCCCCAATCCCTCGGCTCGAGTCAGTCTCCACCACTGTTAAGCGCTCTGAGATGTTACCCTGCGTGGAGAGCGCTATACAAGTGCAAGTTGTTGCTCGCTTCTGTGCTAAAATTTACCTGATCTAGCTAAGGTAGACATAGTCTGGGATCAGACACCACAGGCTTATTATCGTACTTGTCAGACTGGCTCAGTTGGTAGTACTCCCACCTCTGAGTCAGAGGTTGTGAGTTCAAACCTCACATCAGGACTTTGAGCTCAAACAGTCCAGGTTGACACTGCAATACAGTGTTAATGGACAAGTTATATTGTCAGAGGTTCTGTCTTTTGAAACTGAGGTCCTGTCTACCTGTTTGCACTAGTTGAAAAGAGAGGGGATGTCTCAACATACATTGACTGCTTCATAACTTGGGACATTTAAAAGATAAGCAAAAAGAATAGGCTTGGATAGTTTGAGCAATTTTATACTATCCTAACACTGTTTCTTCTCTACCTTAGAACATCTTCCTGACCAAAGACGGCACAGTTCAGCTGGGTGATTTTGGAATTGCGAGAGTACTTAACAGGTAGAGATCATTTTTTTAGCACAAAATTTATATTAACTATATTAAAAATGTTTTGGTTGGTCAAAAGTAATGAATTGTTTGCATTTGCTCAGATCTCTCCCTCCAGTCTGGTTTCCACCCTGCCCACAGCACAGACAGCGCTTGTCAAAGTCACACACTACATACTCTCTCTCTGTGACCTGGGCTCCTTCTGCCTCCTCGTCCCCCTAGATCTCTTCCCCTGCATTCGACAACTCTGGGAAAACTTTCCCTGAATCCCTCTGTCTTGCCCCCTCATTCCCCATCTTCAGGTCATGTCTGAATACCTTCCTTTTCGACCGTGCTTAGGGTCACTTACCCCCTCTGGCTCAGCGTTATGCTATGCCAATGTCAAACACTTTGGAATGCTATCTTCTTTGAGGGGCACTATATAAATGTAAGTTATTGTTGTATTTAGAACTGAAGACTGCAATTTCTTTTTTCTGGGATTCCTGCGTGTTGTGGTTGATCTCTAAATACTAAATAAAACAAATTGGTCTCAGCAGGGATGTTATATATTGAAGAGTTTTCTTAAATTAAATTCTGGCCATTTATTTTGTCCTGCAAATCATATACTTGATATAGTAAAATATGGAAGAACAACAGGAGATGGACTGCAGCTCACAAAAAGGAATGTGAATAAATAGTTCAGGCTTTTTTTAACACAACCAGTGGTGAATGTGTGAAAAGACTACGCAGGGAAAGTGGTGGGGGCATGTGCTCAGAGAGAATTTGACCAATAATTTTGGTTGAGATTTGTGAGAGGAAGTAGTGTTGGTTTATTCATTTATATATTTTTACTTTGGACTTACCAGAGGGGACTCAATGGTCTTTTCCATTGACATGTTACTAAAGACGGATACAATAATTAAGAAATATTTTGCTTCTGTAAAATTTACAATTCCTTTAAATTTGTTTTATTATACATCTCTTTTCTAGTACTGTAGAGCTGGCCCGGACTTGCATTGGCACACCATACTATCTTTCTCCAGAAATATGTGAAAATAAACCTTACAACAACAAAAGGTAGGGTAACAGACAATACAAAATTGGGCACCTATTAGGAAATCCATATAAAGTAACAACCAGTTTGACGTTTCTGTGCATTTTTCATATTCATAAGATTGATGCTAATTCAATATTTCCTTGCTACCAGTGATATTTGGGCCTTGGGCTGTGTCCTCTATGAGATGTGCACTCTTAAACATGCAGTAAGTAGTTTCTTTTTATTGTTATCAATATTCCTTGAAAAGTAATTTGTTGATCTTGTTGTTAGTAACATTTTCTGTTTCTGGTAACTTTTAACTAAGCCATTGTTAAGCGCTGCAAAACTCTACCTCGTGTGAAGAAAGCTATATAAACGCAAGTTGTTGTATCAAATCTAATAAACTTTAAATATTTTGTGTATGATTTGTTAAGATTTATCATCAGTTTAACAAATTAAAATGAAAAAAGTTCTGGGACTGTTGGGTTGCAATTCTACCCTTTCATCTGTTAGACATACATTTGAATGGGACGTTCAGCCTTTCTGCCCCACTCTCTGGAACTCCATCACAGAGTTCCTTTGTCTTGCCAGTTCCTCAACTCCTTCAAAGTCCATCTCAAGACCTTCCTCTTTGACCACACCTTCAGTCATCTTCAGACCTGCAGCCCCCCGCCCTCCGGCCCTCCGGCCCCCCCCTGGCCCTCCCACCGCCCTAGCTTGATTTCAAATAAGCATCATAATCATTGGTTGCATTTCTCTGACAGCTGAGTGGGAAAATGGTGCACAACTGAGACATGTAGACCCGATCGGGCCTCGGTTCAACATGAGGTTCCTTAATCATCAACATTCTTGTTTGCAGTTTGAAGCTGGCAACATGAAAAACTTGGTGCTGAAAATCATCCGTGGCTCATATCCACCTGTATCTCTTCATTATTCATATGATCTGCGGAGTCTCATATCATGGCTCTTTAAAAGGAATCCGAGGGATAGACCATCAGTAAACTCTCTCCTGCAAAAACCATTTCTATCCAAAAGAGTTGAAAGGTTGCTTTCACATGATGTAAGTACCATGAGAATTTAAAGATTATTTTCTGAAGAAATATTCGTCTGTGGATCAGTGTTTATTTTCTAGTTCATCATTTTGGGTTATAGTTTTCTGTGCTACATATCGTGTGGCAGGCATCTCACACTGTTGACAATGCATTGTGTACGAAATAGTTTGGCACCCATCTTTCACAACTTTGTTTGTGTTGACTGAGCATCCTTTGCGAATGCTCAAACTAATTACATTGTAAAGGAATAGGCATTCTCGCGAAGCACATCACAAAATTACATTCATATCGCGCCTTTCATGTCAGGAGGGCGTCCTGAGGTGCTGGGTTACATAGACATTATCATAGAGTTTTACTGTAGTATGTTTAAAGATGAGTAATTTGTACATTCTGTTTCGTCCACCCCCTGCGCGGTCCTATTTTCCAGCTTATTGTTGAAGAATTTGGTCATACAGTTCATCACGCTCGAAAGCCAGTTGTTTCCAATGCAGCAGGTGAGAAATGAAAACTCCATTTATGCGTATCTGCTTATTCTACACTCTTTGAAACTAAAAATTACATATGAAATCTGATGTCAAGGCCTCTGTTTTGCAGTTTTCAATTGGACTTTTAAGTATCTTTTTGCAGTGCTTTCAAAACATAGCTGTTATCAATCAGCACTCTTACAATAGCTTTGTAGCTTTTCTATTTCTTAAAAATTCTTACTTTCTCATTTTTCTAAGCTGCTTATACACCTTTATATTCCTCCATGGTGCCAGCGCTATATGGGACTGTGGACTTCTCCATGAACTGATGGCAATCTTTTTCTGTGTTCTAGGGCAGTTTACAACACAGTACAAATTTACATTTTTATAATGCCTTTCATGTTGGGAAAATGTCCCAAAGCGCTTAACAGTACTGGCTGGGCATCTGAGCTGGGGATGAGAGATGAAGGGTGTGGGAAGGGAAAGATGACTGAAAGCATGGTCAAAGAGGCAAGTCTTGAGATTGGCCTTAAACGAGATAGGACAGCAAGGGATGGAGTTTGAGAAGGGGCAGAAAGGCTAAAAGCACGGCCGCCGGTGGTGAGGCAGGTTGAGTGGACATGAAGCAGTTCAATGTTCACTGAATGAACGCAGTATCCGGGTTGGTAGGATAATTTAGCAGAATGACAAGAAGTACATTGTACATATTATTATCCTAATAATAATAATGATCCCTCCAGAAACAAAAACAATAATAAATTGGTCATTTCACTCCACGGCTGTTTGGGGACACTGCAATTGGCTGCTGCGTTTCGCCCACAAGTATGCGGTCAGTTCACTTTGCAGCATGTTCTGTGAAGCGCTTTTAGAAGTCGAGAGGACGTGAAAAGCGCTATATCAAATGCAAGGATTATTATTATCTGCCAATGAGGAATGCCTTTTATCAATGCAGCACAGAGTCTATGCTGTATTTGGGGAGACAGTTAAATTTAAATAATGTTGTAACACTGATCTCAAAAGCCTAGGAGTGTAGGGTGGTTTCTGGCCAATAAACCTGCATGTTTTAAGGACATTCATTCATCTATGGAGTGGGTAGGGGGTGCTTTTTCTTAATCGATCAAGATAGGCTACACAGTTCCAGCCTCGGTTGCTGGATTGTGAACAAGTTTGAACGATTGCTGTGTTTTCTGATATATATATATATAATTTTAAAATTATTTCCCTCTTTTGAATCTGAGACCTTCCTAATCCGTATGGCCCTGTGACTCAATAGCCTATTAACCTGATGCACTTGCCATCAAGGAAGACCAAATTTTGAGGTTTGTTTCTCTTATATAAAAACATGGTTGTTATAGGTGGAATATTTTGTTGCTGAATCTTTCTCGTTTTGGTAGTGAAAAGGCCAGGTCCAGTATCTGGCTCCGTAGGACCTGCACAGAAAATCACCAAACCAGCCGCCAAATATCGGGTGCCATTGACTGTAAAGTCCTCTGAGGCAGCTAAGAAGTCGTCTGATAAAAAACCACTAAGTAAATACAAACAGGTGAGAAACGATTTGTTAATTCTTAGATATTAACAATGTAACCAAATCATTATTTTTGTTGTATTTAAAGCTGGTGTTGGATGGGGGTTTATCTGAACGGCTGGCAGAATTTTCTTCTGTTTTGTTTAATTTGTTTGTTTGTGGCATGGCCTCCAATTTTGTATGTCACAATGTATAACTTTGGCATTTTTTTACTTATTCTGATTAAAATTTATCAGATAATCTTTGGACTTGATAACAAAGACAGCATCATATTAGTTTCTCTGAGGATGTAGATTGTATGTCGCCCCACTGGCTGCTTTGAATACTCAGTGGGTTTTTCTAATAAATAGCTGAGCCATAAAGATGTACATGCTCATGGTGTTTGCTGAATTAGCTGATTTCAGCCAGGGTGCTAAAAGATGGAGCTATAATTACACCCTCAGGTGTATGCTTGTGAATGTTGGGTGTAACCAGGATTTGACCATTTATAAGCCCTATCCCAATACAGTGCCTTTAATAGGGGAAAGGGAGCAAATGTTGGAGACAAAAGAAAACTAACCACCAGATTTCAAAACCATTAGCTAAATATCACTGAAACATTTGGCTAAATGAAAGTTAAAAAATGAACACTGCAGAATCACATGATTTGATATAATCAAATCATGAAAAGTAATCAATATCCCAGTAAAATAGTAGAAATTATGGATACGTAGAACAATGCAACCACGTTAGTTTGTTTGAGTGTAAATCCTATAATTTGCAACACAGTTCAAGTTCACTTGGTCCATTGTGTCTGTACTGTGCTTTCTCTCATTGCAGGTAACTTCTTTAATTGCATTTCCCCATGTGGTATCAAACACATCATCTATTTTTCTTCAAAATTTGTAAAAAAAACAGTAATGCAACATTCAGGAGAAAATTAGGGTTTATTTCAAAAACTTATTCTACTTATTCTAAAAAATATATAATCTGATTTACAAATTTCCAATGTGATTTGAAGTTGGAGATGCAATTAACTGGGAATGCTCATACTGATATGGATTTTTAAAAAATATGTATTTATTGATTTATTTACCTTACACCCAAAGCCTTGTGTTTGTGTGCCCATGTTTGTGCAACCATGTGGAAGGATCACGTGAAAGAATTTGTACTTTTTTTTAAAAAAAGAGAGCTTTTCTAGGTTCAGCCTCAAAACAGTTGTGTGCTCTTCCTGTGTTTTTTAAGAACCTCAACATAGAATCTCTGGTACTTTCTTTTGTTGGTTTCAACATTGCTTGCTAGGAAACGTGCTACAGATCTTTTTTTCTCATTCTCAAAGTCACTTGTAGCTATCACTCGGTTGTGTGTTCTGGCATGTTGAGCATGTTTAGTATTAGTTTTTTCCACATGACATCACGTTTCTTTGTTTTTGAAACTTGCTTTGTTGAATACCTGTGACTAGACATTGTCTGTTTTACTCAATGTCTATGAATAGACATTGTCGGCATTGATAATGTCTGTGCCGTCATCACAGTCTGTTGACTGGAGAGTGTATGCGGTGCCTTCTATTGAGACAGCTATTTGAAAGGATATATAACAATGTCCAAAATGATTCAGTAAAGAATGGGCTCCTGTATTATACCTCCTACCAATGGTGAATCTTACACAAGCTCTGTATTCCACATCTGAAATTTGTAAGTTCTCCAGATCTAGAGGCACTCATCAGTTGTCAGATCAACCTACAAGCACATAATTCAAGACAAATACTTGCAAGACACGGGATAAGGCATCAGGCATCCCTGTGAAAGTGACACCCGGCTGACCAAAACAAATTAAAACATTTTTCTTAATGGAAAAAATATATCTTTTTAAGAAAATAAGTCTTAAGTATTATGCAAAAATAAACAGGGATTTCTTAATTGTGCTATCTGTTACTGAAGTGCAAAACAACAGATCTGGTATTTCAATCAATATTTAGGAGAACAAAGTCAGCATGTTGAAATAACTTCACTTAAGAGTTAACTGTGAATAATTGTCTGAATGGTAGTCCCATCTTTTCAGCTATATTAATACCAGTAACTTGTCTTACACATATAGGTCATCATTTCAAGTACAGTGAACAGTGAGGAGAATAAACCACAAACTAAATCTCTCTTTAGTTAAGTCTTATTTCTAAGAATCTCAGTTTATACTGACAAAGATTTCAATGAATTTGAAATGATTGCAAAGAAATTCTTTCTCGACCTGATTCCCCTGTGTCACTTTTAGATTGTATTGCCAAAAATGAGAAACATTACCAAATGTTTTTCTTTCCAGTTAAACTATCTAATTTCTAGTTTCACTTTTTATCTAGGCTCATCCTACTCCTGTGAAGAAAACGAATGCAGTGGAAGAAAGGAGGAAAATGTTTGAGGTATACTGAGAGTAACGAATGCAGTTAGTTCAGGATTTCCTCAGTTGGTGGAGGAGTCAGACTTACTGTGGTGACCAAAGTTGCCCTAATTATTTTGGAAATTCCATAATTTTAAGGGGGAAAATGCTGATTCCCGTGAACTCTTAAGTGCTTCTCCGTTTATGTCTAAGAAAGCCTGCATGAATTAAAAATTACACATGTAGGCTGTTTGAAACCTACAAACCTTTCCTCCTTGTTTCTTTCCAGTATTTTTCCTCTTGTTCTCTTTCCAGCTCAAAGGCATAGTTCTAACCAGGGGAGAAGTTTTCCAGCCTATCCCCAGATTTTGTTTAAAATTGATCTTTCTCTTAAGTTGACATTCTTTTACTTTTTGTAGGAAGCATCGAAAAAGAAAAAACAGGAGTTAATTGAACGGGAAAGAAAGCAAAGAGAGCAGGTGTGTAATTTGAGTGAATCTTTCTGTATTTTGCTCATGTATCTTAAACTTGCCTGATTTTTCCATTGTTCTTCAGCAAAAATGCTGGTTCGATAAGGGAGGATGGTGTTTAAATCATCATCATTCTTTGCAGTTGATATAGTGCCTTTCACATCTGGAGGACATCTCAAAGTACAAGATATACTCCTAAGTATAGCCACTGTATAATTTTGTGGAGGAATCCAGGCAGCCAATATACAGACAGCGATATCACATAAACAGCCATGAAATAAATGGCCAATTTTATCTGGGGAATTGTTGGCCGGAACACCTGGAGAAACTCCCTTCTCTTTTTGAATAGTTCCATGGGATTGTTAATTTCCATCTGAACTGGCAGATAGATCCCTGATTTAACATCTCATCTCCAGGACTGTACCTCCTACAATGCAGCGCTCCTTTTGCATTGCATTGGAATGTTAGGTTAGATCCATGAGTTCAAAGTTTTGACGTAGGTCGTGAACTCGCAACTTTCTGACTAACTGGGTGAGAGTGCTGCCAACTGAGTCAAGCTGATACGACATGAGTGAGACTTCACGCTTGTGATATTTTAAACTTTTTTTGCATACAGGGTTTGGTTGGTCAACTTGTATTTAGGTGCAGCCTGATGTTGTACCAGATATTACATATCTGCCCAAGGAAAGACATTTCTGTATGTTTCATTTTATTTCAATTCCTAGAAAATCACTTTTCATGGAAAAAAAATGAATATTGATAGTGACAGCAATCACAAAATAACAAAATCTAGGATTTAAAAAGAAACCAATTGATTCACTGTAACATTCAAACAACACAGTGTCTATCAAACATCAGACCTCTGAATCAAAACTAAAGCAAGAATGCCTTCAATTCCATCCACTGACATATAATTTCTCTTGTCAATCACAATAAGTATCTTCCTGGAAGTGACATTTCTATCTCAGCAGGAATTGTCGGGTCAGGGGTTCACTAGTTTGTTTGCATTACAGTACAAATAATCAAACTATACGAGCTACTGGCTTGTACAAAGTTAACTACAGTATTAGATGTCAGCTTGGCTAAGTTTGGTAACACTCTCTGGAGTCGGAAGGTTTTAGGTTCAAGCTTCGTGTCGGGACTTTGAGTTAACACTCCATGCAGTGTTGGCAAAATGCTGCATTGTCAGATGTACGGTCCTTTGCATGAGACCTTAATCTTACAGTTCCTGTCTGCCTGTTCGGATCGATGTTAAAAGATCCCATAACACTTTGAAAAGATTTTTTTCCTTGTCCTTACTAACAATCCACACCCTGCACCCCACACACCAACACACACCCCAGTTAAATTGGTGAATCACTTCATGGCTGTGTGTTGGACACTTTTGTGGCAAATCCGCTATTGCATTTGCCTACAAGATACACAGTCACTACACTTTACAGTAAATCCTGAAGTGCTTGCAAATGTTTCGACAAAATAAGACGCTGTATGAAATGCAAGTATTGTTATTATTAACCGCTGTATTCTCACAACTGCAATGGAGTTGGTCTTGTGCTGATATCTGGACAATTCTGCATTGCAAAGTGGCTCAAGATACATATATTGTTCTGCTTCATTGCATGTTTTTGGGAAGAGTCTGTTCTCATTTATATGGGGTAGAGCTAACAGTATCATAATAATCCTTGTGTATGATATAGTGTCTTTCACAACAGGAAGGTGTCTCAAAGCACTTTGCAGGATGTACTGTAATGTGTAGTGACTATATTTTGTGAGCAAACATTGGAGGTGGTTTGAAATAAATGTAATATCTCTTTCTTTACTTTGCTTTTTTTGCAGATGAATTTGCTGAAAGCTGAACAGTTGAGGCGGATGGAGAAAGAGAGAGTATGTTTATCATGCCGTCCTTTGTCTTGTAACACAAGTAATTTGACATGATGTGACCTTGAAAGCAATTGTTTTTAGGAACTATTTTTATCTCTGTAGGTCTCACTATAGCAGTGCTTCACAAGTCTACATTTGCTTCTGATTTTGCTTCTCTCACCACCGATGTGCATCTTGGTCTCTCACTAGCTGCTCTCTTGGGCTGCTATTGTATTGCTGAGGATTGGTGATACCGCCACTTTGACAGACCTCAGTTATTCCACTCTGTTATTTCCTCTCCTTCAACAAACATAATTCACATTAGCAATAATTATATAGAGAATAAAACACAAATGTGTTTGGTGCGAGGAACGTGGTCATGTTTTATTGAGAAATGAACCACTATCCGATACTTTTTCTCTCTGAAGACTAAGCAAAATATTAATTCACAGTGCTGTCATACCCTCATCTTCTACTAGTGTCACATTGATGTCTTTTTTGAACTCGCCTCTTCCTTTCCACTCTTGTCTTTTAATGTAATAATAATTTACAGTATTTATAGAAGAAATTACTGTTATCCTTTATGCCACCTGCAAGTTTATATTCATATCTCACCCCCATTGAAATCTATTTTTTTATACACACACCACCAATGTTGGAAAAACTAGGAGAGAAACGAGAAGTAAAAAAAAAGGACTTTAGGCTTGTTTTTCATTAAGTAATACATTCATTTGAATTTATTCAGCACAGGAATGGGCCTTTCGGCCGATCAGGTTAAAAGGTGTTTGGATCAACTCTCCAAAAGTTTGTGGATTAAATGAAGTATTCCATCATTTCCAACACAAATGTTTTTATTAACAAACATTACTTTTAATAGCTGGAAAGAATCAACCGAGCCAGAGAACAAGGATGGAGACATGTACTTGGTGTGGGTGCTTCTTGGGGCAGTGGAGAGCATAAGGTAACTTTATTTTACATACTTTATCTCAAACCTCTTTGACTGTGCTTTCGGTCATCTTTCTCGGCTCCCACCCCTAGCTCGGCTGCCCAGTTGGTCTTGTCAAGTGTTTTGACATGTCCTCCCAAGATGAAAGGCGTTATATAAATTTATCTTGTATTGTATGATTGGATTCGTCTATTGTTCAAAGAGAGGTGGGAAAGATGGTACAGGGTGAGGCACTTAAAAGGAGGGGAAGGAGCCAGAGGAACAGGGGGAATAAACCGAGGGAGGGTTCTGAGATGAGGACCATTCCTCTAACGAATTGGTTAGGGTGGAGAGGCTCCAATGAGGGAAACAGGGTCACTGGGGACAGCCCAAGGAGATAAATGCACTTATCCAGTATGAGGTTGTTTGAGAGAACAAATATTTTGAAGGGCAATGTGAATAGGGACCCTGGTGGGGGAGGGGGTTGTGGCTTGTGGGGGGGTCTGGGTGGGAAAGCAATTGTGGCGTTTGAGGGGGAGGAGAGTTGGGAAGGATGTGGATGAAGGAAGTGGGGCTTACCTTCTGTAACCAGGTTATGTGGGGCTTGCAGAGAGACGGGAATGGGGCAGTTGGGGTGGCTACTCTGACAGCAATCAATGAGTGCTGCAATGAGCCGGGTGGAGGATATCCACGCTGGAGCTGAGGGAGGTGAGGAAAGGTCCTGAAGGGAGAGAGAAGGCACTCTTACCCTCATAACTCCACGTGTTGATTTCATGAAAAAACAAGCTGCATGCAGACTTAAATCTTTTTTCAAAGTGCTGCAAGAGAAAGAACTGAAAATTTCCAGGTGTTTTTCTTTAGACTAATCTATGTTTTTCACTTAGTTTGTTTCCCTTCAATAAATGGAGTTCTATCATCAGGTTTCAATCTTCGGGGGTGGAGGTGGAGGTGGCCCAGCACCTAACCGACTGTCACATTATGAACATTACCACGCTATGTTGGACCACATGCAGCAGCAGAAAGAAAACATCCGAGGCTTTGAGGAGAAGGATTTCAAGTGGAAGCCGGAACCGCAGCACAGGGAGCCGATCTTCAAGTATGTTTCCTTGTAATGGGTTGAGGTGCATCAAACACAAAAGCAATGAGTGTAATAATCGGGTGTTATTGGTTGCTCTTTACTTCATGCTTTGCATTGTGATTGCAGAGTCCCAGCAGCCGTCGGGCCCGTATTTCCCAATGGGCCAGTCGCCCTTAACCAGCTCCCTGATGCTGATGCAGTCAAAAAGGAAGTGAAGAGACTTGAGAACGTAGTCAGACAAGCAAGCGCATACAGGTAGTCAATGAAAAGTTGGCTTCCTTATTAATTGTTTTCAGCAGTTGTTATAGTTAGCAGGAAACTACCAGGATTTGAACCCACAACCTTCTGACTCTGAGACGAGAGTGCTACCACTGAGCCAAGGTGAAATCATTCTGATGTCATCATTCATCAACTAACATTATTCACAGTCGTCGAGGCAAAATTTGTGATTTCTTTGAGCAAATCATGTATTAATGTCGCCTCCACACATGAACAAAATGAAAAGTTTTGAGAAGCCACAATTTTTCATGTAGGAACTTAAGCAATGCTCACTTGTCAATGGTGCCACTCAACATTTACAGGTATTTTAAAAATGCATTACATTTCTACGGCTTGACGGATTGCTGACAATTAGGGTGTAATTGATTTGAGGAGACAATTGTATACAAAATTGAGACTTTGGAGAGATGCAGCTGTTGCTTCTAAATGGTTTCTATTAATTCAGGCAACGAGGATTTGTGGCTGCAGAAAGGGCAAAGCAAGTGGAAGAATTCTGGCAGCGAAAGCGGGAAGCTCTGCAGAATAAAGCTCGTGGTGAAGGACACTTGGTATGATTTTTTGGGTATATAGTATTTGTGCTATTTTTGAATTTTCAAAATAAGACCCTCCACTCCCACCCCTCAACCACATCCCAGAGAATATCCCAGAGAATATAGTGGTTGTGCATATTGCAATTCCGGATCTTGTTTTTACCACCTGCAGTTTCAGCTCCCAACCAGGAAAGTAAGATGAGTGGAACTGTGGTCTTCCGTATGTCACTGTAAACAGTGAGCAAGCCATTATGTTGCCTGGCTTTGAAGGAAGAGATGTGACAAAATGAATGATGTAGAAGTACAATTGATACATTAGAATTGTTCTGGGCCTTCAAAGCTGGAAATCACTAAGGTTTCCATTATATGAAATCAGATTTGAAAAAAACTTTAGTCATGAATTCAAATTTCAAAAGGTTAAAGATCCCATCACAAGCTTCAGGCCCTGGGCTTTATTTTCAGTACATTTACCTTTGGGGGTGGGGAAGGTGAGAGTCCAAGGTCATTTTCACTGGTGCCCGTTAATACAATTGTTGGTGGGGCTGGCATATTTGTTACTGATGATTTGATGGAACCCTGTTTGCATTAAAAATAATTGTTAAAGGATAACAAATGATGATTGTTTAGAACTGGGTTGCATTTGCATCATTTTCTACGCTTGGCAAGTCTGTTATCATCTGAAATGTGTTGGTTCTTTTCTGTTGTATTGTCTTGCAAATACTTAGTTTTCAAATCCATGATTTATTTTACTTGTGAGCATGCACGTTAAATGGTTGACCATTCTGAGAGGGTGGTGGGGAGTTTGCATGGAATGTGTCTGGTGATTTTGTTTTGATCATTAACACTTCACAAGGAAATAATTGGAGGTTTGATGAATTCAACAGTTCACTGTTAAAATCTCTTGTTTGAAGTTCGCTTTTTAACCATTCTGCTTCTGTGGCAGAACTGAGCTCAGTTCTTAATTTAACGGGAGGACAACACATGCATGAAGAATGCCCATATAAAACTATTTCTATCAACTCAATTGGAACTTTTATGATCTAGTTATATGATTTTTGTTTGGAGGATTTACGAGTTTCTTCAGAAAATAGACTGCTGCTCTATTAAAACATTAAATTACCTAATGCTTGAATGAGTGTGTGAAGATTGGTTATACGCTCTTCATCACTTCTGTAAACCAACAGCTGGAATACTAGTTCTCTTCTGTTAGGAAAGGATTTTGTTTTATGAATTATACAATTTTTCTGTTAAGGAGATATTCTATGAATTATACGGTTGTACGACAGCTGCATGTAAAGTATATCTACAATTCACTTATCTAGCATATCAGATTTTACAGTTTTTATTTACAGTCATTTTTTTATACCCTTTAGATTCAATTGCTTACTAGCAATATTTCAGTCATATTTCATTGACTTGTGTCAGCCTTTACAGTGTAATGTCCTTTTAGAAATCTAAATCCTATGGCATTTGTCTAATGCAGATTTATACTATATTTAGATCACTGACTTGGCTTGCACGAACTACATCATCAATTTTGCAGGAATGGAGGAGGGGAAAGGATGCAGTTTGTGAATCATTATAGCTGGAAATGTTTCTATCCAAAGGGAGGGTTCAAGAAATGTTAATTTTACATTTATAATCGCGCCTTCTCAATCTCAAAGAGCTTCACAGAGCTGACTAGCAATAAGAGCTATGGATGGGAGGAGCTGATGAAGAGAGGAATGGGGAAGAGGGGAGGTGACCAGAAGTAGGGTTGAAGAGAAAGGACATTTTGAAGGGAATGAAGGTCTGGTATCCAAGAGAGAAAGATAGCGACCAAAGCGGTTGCTGTTGCGGAGCAGAGGGAGTGAGAGTATGGATGTCAGGTTTCAAGGATAGTTTGTGTTAAGGTTACAGTTGATGAGAGCAAAGCTGCACTATTCTGTACTGTAAAATAAATCTCATTCACAAATGTACATAGAGGATTCTCTTGATTGGCATAATTTCTGCAGGTTGTAGTTTGTTGCCTATGGTTGATCCCTAAAGCTTTATTTTTAATTCCCGTTGAAGGCAACCAGTTAACATTTAATGAATTGTCCCAATTTTGTAACTAAACATTTATTCAAAGCTTTAAACTTCAAAGCTACTAGGAGATAGGGTAATATTATGAACATTTTGGCCAATACGTTTAGGTCTGATAATAGAACTATCAAGACAAATTGGATAGATTAGAGTTTTTTTTCTGGCGATAAGATTTGTGAGAGGGAATCTAATGGAAATATTTTAAATTCCGAAAGGGTGCACATAAACAGCCTGTTCAAACAATGGGGCATAAATACAAGGTATCCACCAGCAGATATCAGAAAGTTTAGGAGGAACTTCTTTACAGAGAGAGTGGTGAGAATGTGGAAACTGGTTGAAGCAGAAAGCATCAATGCATTTCAGAGTAAACGTAAATGCATGAGGAAGAGAATAGATGGGTACATGATGGGGAAAGGGAGAGGGATTAAGTTGAATGGAGGTTCACGTGCCATATAAATACGGCCATGTTCTAATTGGGCCAAATGGCCTGTTTCTGTGCTGTGAAGTCCTATGCAATTCTATGTAATATTGATTAGTTAATATGATCTTAGTTTCTTTTGATAATGGAACTTTAGTTCTTGTAATCTCATTGATTACAAGAACTAAAGATCTTTCTCACCTTCAAAGCCCTCCACAGCTTGCCACCTCTTCGACCTCCAAACCCCATATGAACCTGTTTGCAGCAAAATGTGCAGTATATAACTATTCTTTGGTTGAGGTTGGTATTTTGGCCAGTTGTACAATATGGTTGTTTGGAAGGTTTAGTTTGGAGTTCATGTCTAAGTGCTTTCCAAGTAATTTACTCTGTCTATATTTTTTTCGGATAGTCTTAACTATTTTAGTATGATCTTTTAAGATATAGAACATGCATGCATATGGATAATGTATTTTTTTACTAGAACAATACAATATACCTTCCAAATTTACAGAAATGAAGTGTGGATGAAACAGTAAAATCCCACTGTTATCTAAATAGAATATGATTGTACTAGATTGGATCCAAGAGGTTATCCTTGCAATTAGTATTTTTGTGGCCTTAATGAGCTGCATTGAAACACTAACCTGCAATCAACATCTGTAATAATTGATGTTCATCAACAAAATGAATGTTGCAGTATTGAAACATGCTTTTAACAGTTTTAAATACCAGTAATATCAAAGGTGACCTGGGAATGAAAAATAAAAATATTGAAGAGGTAATGTTTTATGAAGGAATTCACTTGTCCTAGTGAGCAATCTGGCTGGGCGCCCACTTTGTGTTGTCAGTTTGGGATCCAAAATACTGTGTCTTTAATTCAAAAATCCTTTTTTGTTCAATCAGAGTTGGCCTCAATCAATTCAGAGTGCAAGTAATTGAAAGGCCGATTTGCTTCACTTCCAAATTCTGCACAGCTATAAATCTGGCTGTCACATCTGCCTGGCGTTTTTTTTAAAAAAAACTTGCATTGATCAATGCTTATTCATAGAAATAAGATTTGGTACAGTTTTTTTAAAAAAGGTACATGTGAGAGCATGACTCAAATAATAAATTCATTTATATAGCACCTTCCGCATTGGGAGGATGTTCCAAGGTGCTGGATAGTGAAGGGTCGTCCTCCCGACAAGAAAAACACTATACAAATGTAATTTTGTAGTTGTTGTTCCAGTCGGTGGGAGCAGAAAGGCTGAAGGGCTGACCGCCTAAGGTGGAGCAAGCAGGGCACGAGACTTAGAGCAGGCCAGCGCCCTCCGAGCAGACGGAGCGGGCATGTTGGTAATGTTTTAGTATGTCACAGAGGTAGGGAGGAGAAAGACTACAGAGGGCTTTAAAGGTGAGGGCAAGGATCTTGAGCTCCATTCTTGGGGGTGAGGAGTCAATGAAGCAGGGCGAGAATGTGAGGGATCAGCTCATGGAGCTTTGTCAAAGTGAAACCTTGGGCAAGTTTCCTTACTCCACACGCCTGATAATAATCCCTCTGGAAAAATAAATAATAATTTGGTCACTCAATCCACAACTGTTTGTGGGACACTGCTGTGCACAATTGGCTGCCGCGTTTCGCCCACAAATATACATTCAATTCACTTTACAATATATTTTGTGAAGCGCTTTGAGACATTTAGAAGATGTGAAAAGTGCTATTTCAAATGCAAGGATTATTATTATTAGGTTTATTATTTGCGTGAGGGTGGGCCTGAGCTGCATGGTTCTGAATAATCTGCAACCTGTGGAGGGAAGAGTTGAATAGTTTGATCTTGTGCAGCTTTACAGGTTGGCGAGGAAATCATTGGATTTCCTCCATAAGGTGATGAGCTTATCAATGAGGATCTCAGCAGCAAATGAGTGAGATAAAGGTATAAAAGGGCAATATTCTGGCAATATAAAAAGGCAATTTTAGTGATAAGCTGAATATTCAGTTTGAAACACAGCTGGGGGTTAACCACAATCTTTCTCTTCCAACCCCCAGCCCCCCCCTTTCAAAGCAATCAGTTATGTGCTATTACTTTGGAGACTTGCTTTCTTCAATTAATTGCTGGACGTTGGGAGGGAAAATATCCTGAATTAAATGGCAATTGTTATTGGTCAAATAGCTGAACGTTTACCACTAGATTTGGGCTTGAGCATTCACAAAATGGATGCAAGCTTTTCACATTTTTTTATAAATATATTTAAGGGTGTAATAAAATTAATATTGTTTAAATTTTTTAGACTATAAAATGAGCTTTTTTGTTCAACAAGTTTATAAGAGTGATGTTTATCAGCATGCTGTTAGCTTATTATTAGCTATTAATTCAGGCACACTATTTCTGTAGAATCATGGACAATGGTCTTCTATATAAAAGCTCAACTGCAATCAATAGTTATGTGCGGCATCTCATCAACATTAATCAAGACTGTTAGTATAGTGGAATTTGATATGTTTGGTTAAAGGAATAATGCACCTGAGAAATTAGTTTTTGTTTATTTTCTTTTTGCTAGCCATTGCTTTTTGTTACTGAGACAATCATTTGCTTTTCAGCATTATTATTGAGTATCTGCTGTAGCCCCCATCCAATATACAGACCTGCCAAGTGTTAATTGCTGGTGGTAGTAATCTCTTGGTAATCTTGGATTTAAAAAATAGGACCTACTTTGATGGGTTTTTAAAACTGGTTTCAGATCTGTATGTTTTAATGGGGGGTTGTGAACTGTGTCAATCAACATTTTTCAATGTTGATTCCTAACTATTTTAAATGAGTTCTGAATTTCAAAATCTCATGCTTAAGAAAGTGAATTTGCATGTTTATGATGTAGTTAAAGTTGTTTTGTTAAGGAGCTTCATCAGAAATATTCAGATTCCGTTTTCTAAGAGTTAATTGAAAATTAAACCTTTGCAATTTTCTCGTCATGATTCTGCACTGACCTTCTAGTACTTATAATTTTAGTTTGGATTATGTGTTGAAACTGCTTCTAAAGTGAATCTTAGTATTAGTTATAGGAGATACCTTTCATTTTTGCATTTGACCATGCCAAACAGCAGAACACAACATTATAAAATTAGAATTTGCACCACAGGAGCCAACATAATATTGGACCAATATATTTTGCCGAAAACTAGCTCTTCAACATAGAATCAAAGGCTATTGGAAGCACAGAAACTGACTATTAAGACAAGCTGATTTTGTTTTTCACGTGAGTTAGTATTTTTCAGTAAGACCACTCTTGGGCTTTTTTGTTTTCCCCTCGGATCTACATAATTCCCTTTTAAAAGAAATTATGAACTCTGCTTCAATAAAAGCTCATGGAGTGAATTCCACATTCCAACTATACTCTGTGTAAATAAATATTTTTCTCTTTAATTCTAGCAATGGAAATAATGGAGTAAAATATGTGGTACAGTAAAGCCTGCATCTGTATAACCATATAATCGCCTAAATCATATATCTGCCCAAATCCTATTCAAGAGTTTATATTCTATGCAAGTTTGACATAACTCATACTGTACATATTAAATGTATGGTCCCTGATACTGATACGACTTATGTGAGGTTTACTGTATTCCTTAACGCCAACATAAGCCACCGGGTGGCAGCACATTCTTCCCGGTAAACAGTTTCTTTCCCAATAGATTGCAGTGTCTGTCATTTTTTTAATCTGAGGTGAACGATTTTATTTGGTACATAGACTAGAAACTTCTATTGGGCTGCAATTTTTTTTAGATATTTACTCTCATGGCCAAACTATACATGCTCTCTATGGCCAAAAAAGCACTTTTAATCAATGGAGTGGCCTGGGGCCATTGGGCTGAATGATAAGTCACATTTTGGCTCGCCTCGGCAGATCAATACTGGAAAAGAAACGCTTAATAAAAACATAATTTAGAGCCCAAAATAGACCTAAACATTTACAAAGTAAAATCGCCACCTCAAATTGAAAACATTGAGACAAGGACCTGAATGTTAGGGGAAAAAAGCACTCCTGGTGGGGTGGACTACAACTAGGTGATTAATACCAACACAAGCGATAAATAGGAATACTCCAAATCTTACCCCATGTTGTTACAGTTACCCAAATATAACCCATTATTATCAAGTGAATCGTTCTCATTCTCAGCTCCAGGGTGGAGGGTGAGCCTAATTTCTGAAGTCTCTTTATAAATTGAAACCCTTTATACTTTGTCCTAATACTAATAAATGTGCTGCACGTTTTCCATTGCTTTGATATCCTTTCTGCAATTGGATGCCTAAATCTGTATGCAGTACTCCTAACTTTTGCTGAATTAAGCTATGTGTACAAGTTCAGTGTTACCACCTTGTTTTTGTTTTTATGCCTGAAGATAGAAAACGACATATTACAGTTTCTTCAGTTGAATGCCCTCTTATTGATTGGTCTGGTGCACATTTACACTGTGGCCATTATAAATGAAATGAAAAATAACATGAACATTTATTGGGTTCCAATATTTCATGGATATAAACAGGGTTTTAAAGATTCACGAGAGCAGTGCATGTTAGGTTACTTTCTCTCGGGGATGTGATTCTTAATTTCTGTTGCGTCCTAATGAGGTGACACTGCAGAATTGGAAACTCAGCCCATGGGGATTCACAAAGGGGATCAAGGAACCTCGTATTGTCATCGTTTCTCCCCTCCCCGCTTCCAATTCTATTATCTGAATTAAAACTATAGAGTTTAAATTCATCTCTTATAGTGTAATCATAAGAATTGCTAGATGAAAGAAGACCATGCTCCATCCATTTTGCCTTCCACCATCCTGGCAATCGCATGTCACAAGTCATGTCCCAAAAAATATTAGTCTTCAATATCATTAGTATTAGTCTTGTGTAATTTTAAAGCAAATTATCTTCTGTAATTCTCACATTACTATTCAACTTTTTTTAAAAAAATCTGTATACTGTGGTCAGGTGTACTGTAGTCATCTTTACTCATTGCTGAAGGGATCAACAACTGCATTTTTGTATTTAATGTCCACACATATATTAATTGCCTATTTGGCGGGTACGTTTTTTAATCGCCCCAGTTTCTTAAATTTAATGCATTGAATGGTAAACAGGGCGTCCTGCAAAACCTGGCAGCTATCTATGGAGGCAGGCCTATTTCAACAGGAAGAGGAAAATCCAGAACCAAGGAGGAAGAGGTAGGAGGCCTGCAATTTTGTCTTCATAAAATCCAGTGGCATCACATAGCCTGCTGGTGGTACGCTGGATGCTGTGCATTCAAATGCAATGTTGAAGGAGTTTGCTTCTTCCCTGGTGCTTGTATTTTGAAAATCAAACAGGTTAACTTATCGACTATTATTTTCTGTCAAAACCAACAGTTGCAAAAATATATCTATCAGGTATACAAGAATGCAGTACAGTCTTAGCATCTGTACCCCATTGATGACCCAGTCAATACTATGGTTTTTTTTATCTTTGGGTTTCTGTAGACGTGCTCCCAGCCTGGTCTGAAGTGCTGCACCATTGATTAAATGGAGGTGCTCAATGCCAGAATAGCTAAGCTGAACAGGAGATCCTAAATGGGACTCTGTGATATTTTACAATGTTAAACTACAATGACTAATATTTTCAAATACACCTGGGGAAGAGGTTTGAACAGAAAGGTTTGGCTAAATCATGAATGACCTGCTTTTAAGCATAGATTTTCTTTTCCAATTTTTTCTGCTGCCTTGTTTCATTCAAGGTCATTTAAGGTCTATAGCACTTGCTCAAAAACTTTATTTTTTTGCATGAAAAATAGCAACCTTGGACTTTCTAAAATGTTTAGAGCATTTAAGCCCAGCATTGGATGCATTGTAATGAGGTGCTGCTTGGCTCAATTTATAAACCAGCTATTCTTAAGTGTTACAGGGAAACTCTGCTGTTAAATTCCTTGTTATGATGGCAAGTGCTCACCGATACTTATACAGTCATTGAGCATGTAATCCCAGAAACGTTCATGTGGACTGGTGGTCTTTTTCTCACTCTCCCATTATAATGCCGGGTCTGATTTGTTTTCAATCAAAACACCGAGTTATATGGGCATTATAGCAGGCTTCACTCTTGTATGTAACTGTATGAGAGAAATCAGTCCATTTTGACAGTAATAATCTTGTCTATTTCTACCAGTGTTTCTCAAAATACTTTCAACCCTTTACAGCCAGCTTTAAAATGTGCACGGTCCTGGTCGTATGCATTTACTGATCATTTTGAGGTTGAAGAAGATGGGATTAGAAAATTCATGGGACCCTCGGATATTTCTTGGGAAGTTGATTTGGTGCACAAATGTTGCAGCGGATCTTGAAAGACATGAGAGTCGTTGCCTACAGGAGGCTGTGATTAAACTTCAATGTGCAGGTTTATCTGGCAGCTTATATGATGCTCAGCCATGGTTGTCTGGTATTTTTACAGATTGGATATATCCTTAGTTTACACCATTGCAGCAATGGAATTCCTCTCAGTGACTAGACACAGTGGCAAATGTGTAAGAGCAATTGCTGGTTCTTCGTTGGTTTGCAAAGCATCATGAGAATTTAAGAATTTGCAGAGTACTGTATTTTGTGGCAAGTTAATTTTCTTTAAAGTGGTGGACGAAGTAACAGTAACGGTTAGTGTTAATGGAAACCAGTACCTGAGGAGTGGTACCCAAAAGGGGGGGGGAGTGTTACAACACTGAAAGTTATCTTTGACAGTGTTTTATAGACTTCTTACAATGATCACAAACTGTTTTTGTATTGCAAGTTTTTTTTTAAAAAAATGAAAAATGAACCTTAAGCGGTGTACAGGATATGGTCACTTGGTGGTAAAAATCTTAGGAAAAAATCAAATTCTTAACAAATGTTATCTGTGAAGTAACATTTATTTATTTTATTAGGAGTATTTAGCCAGACTACGCCAAATAAGGCTGCAAAACTTCAATGAAAGACAAGAGATTAAAGCTAAACTTCGAGGAGAAAAGGTAAGTTTATGGAATTCACTACCCCAGAAGGTTGTAGATGCTCAGTCCTTGAACATCTTCAAGGCTGAGACTGATAGATTTTTAAAAAACAGAGGGATTAGGGGATATGGGGATAGGGCGGATAATTAGAGTCAGGTCTGAAGATCAGCCATGATCTTATCGAATGGCGGGGCAGGCTCGAGGGGCCAAATGGCCTACTCCTGCTCCTAATTCTTATGTTCTTATGTTCCTATGTAAGCTCTGAGTCGCGGTTATTTCGCCGCTTTATATAATGAATTCTCTTTACAGTATATTCTCTGTAGCTTCTTCTTAACCGTGTGATAAGACGCTAAATAAATACAATTATTATTATTTAGAATCTCTTGTGTTGTGATCTGAAAGTTGCATTAGGTCTTTTCCCACCCCACTCCCATCTAAACATTTCAACAAACAAGTCAACTCATTTGGTTGGGGATATTCATTTACAATGCCTTTAATCCCTATCGAAGATACATCAGTCAAGGGTTTCAGATAGATACCATAAGATACTTGTTGCTTCAATCATTTCTCAAATAAAAGCTGCCATGTTTTAGCAATTTTCTACAGGTATTGCTTTTATTTTCTCCCAGTTCCTAGCCCAGCAGGGCAGGTAGATTGCCAACTCCCATATTCATGCCTCCACAGTGCTGCTGTGAGTTAGCTGCTAGGAAAGATGCAGCAGATCAGGAGCAGTGTTAATTTCTCCTCCCCCTCTTATGTTCAACAAATCTTTCCTTTTGGCCGTTTCTTAATGGTTCTCATGGAGGTGAGACTGTAATTAGCAAGTTAGGAATGTGGGGAATTGAATCTGTGAACTGCAATGGTCCATTACCACATGCACAATATGCTCTTTTTCAAAAGCACAGCCTTGTGCACGTGAGTCCAAAACTATTGCAATCCAATGAAGATGCTCTCTTGCAATGCCCCCATTTTTTGGTTTATGTACTGTTCCATGTCAGTAATACTGCAGGACGATTTTGTTTTATTGTGCCATGCTCAATCCCAAAGGTGTTTCACATCCTACTTTATGCATCTCTTCTTTCGGTCTAAACCTCTACAACCCTCCAGAAATTTGAGGGTAGTGACTTGTCCAAGTTGGGAAATTTCGCTTGCCATATGTTCAAGTTTAGTGATGACAGTTTCTACTGAGATTTTCTCATTCTTAAGTGCATATGTTCAAAGTCACAATATTTAATGAATGGCAAGAGAAATTTTACCCCACGGTTCAAACTTTGTATTTTGTCTGTGATTGGAACGAAAAGCATATCTGTCGAAATATTTTATGATATGATGTTAAAGATCCTGTGGCACTTTTCAGGAAAGAGAAGGGAGTTTCTCCTGGTGTTTCAAGAACATAAGAACATAAGAATTAGGTCCATCTAGTTCACCTTCCACAATCCTGGCAGTCGCTTGACTTATCGTGTCCCAAAATATAAACTGTATCCCAAGATATTATTTTCTAGCAGAAATCTTATCTAATTTGCTCTCAAAACAAACAACATTTTCTGCATCCACTGTCTCCCTAGGGAGCCTGTTCTATAAGTTTACTACTCGCTCACTGAAGTAATATTTCCGCAGATTTGTTCTGAATTTACTGGTCTTGGCCAAAAGTCCCCCTAGATAACATAGGTCATTCACTTCATGGGCTTTTGTGGGACTTTGGTGTGTGTAAATTGGCTGTTGCATTTTGCATACAAAATACAGACACTAAATATTAGAATATATTCTGTGAAGCATTTAAACATTCTCCAGACATAAAAGCGCTGTATCAAATGCAGTATTTTTATTTATTATACATTGTACATAACCAATAATTTTGTGATAATTCTGGTTGTAAATACAATTACATTTGTAAAGTGCCTTTCATGTCGGTAGGACGTCCCAAGGCGCTGGCGCTAATTATGGAGTATCTGGCACGTTTGGAACTGTTCGTAATATAAATAAGATCAGTGAACTTGTTCGTATCTGCAGCAACACAGTGTTTTAGTTTTCCCAATATGATTATTTAGTGTGACAGTGATGGTTCAGATGGAACGGAATCCAGTGATGAGGCTGACTTGAGGCGCAAGAAGATTGAAGCGCTTAAGGTAAAATTTGTTAATTTTACAACCAATATATATGAAATGTCAATTTATCTTGAATGGTCATTTAAACACAGTAATCTAATGAACCCTATTTCCACCAATTTATTTTTAAAAAGAGTATGAGTTTTGTTTGGGTCACCAAACTATGAGAACTTGTTGGCTTACAATCCACTTCATTCAAACAAGGTTTTTTCTTCCATCCTTGATAACTTGTGTTTTTTACAAAAAATCTGATTAAGCTGTAGGTAGCTCTTTCCAGTCTATGATGACCATACTTATTGACTGACCGCACTTAGTGCGTTGAATTACCAGGAATTCACAGGGCTTCTCAGGCTATAATATCTTTGGGTTGACCCAAAAGTCTAAACTAAGTTGACCAATCAAGCTGCGTATAGAATAGCTGAGGAGAAATTAAAATTCCAATCTATTGCCTCTTTTATGGACTTGGTAATAGACCAGGCTGTTCATATTGCTGGGCATTAATTTTGAATTGAGTTCTACCCAAATCCAAATATTTTGTTGCCTTTGTGCTAAGATGGTGCTAGGAGTATTATTACCAACATTTGTTGAGTGTGTAATGTTCCCGACATACTCTGTGCTTCCACGCATTGTTTTCCTTAAAAACTGGTGCTGCAGCAGAAAACTTGTTTTGAACCTGGGTTATAGCCAAAATAGTTTTCACAAGCAAACATGGTTGAAACGACTAAACCAAGAAGTTCCTATTTATACTATCGGTGATACACTGCCACCATACTAGTTGGATTTAGAGGAGATATATCACTGATGTTGGTTTGAGAACAACTCTAGAGTTTCTGTGGAGGAACTATTAGTGGACGAGTTGAGGCTTACAGACCTTAATTGCACTTCTTTCATAGTGGTGTGCCCTTGTAAGTGACTGTTGCATGTGTCCTGTACAAGCCTTTTCAGATCCAAGCAAAGTGAGACTGAACATCGAAGAATTACCTTTGTAGGAATGGATTTTTGCCAGGAGACTCATTACACATGATTCTCTCCCAGTTGACAATCTTCTTATCTCTGGGTCAGAAGTGTGGAGGTTCAAGTCCCACTCAAGGACTTAGGCTCAGAATCTAAGAGGAGACTTTTATTGCAGCACTGAACAAGGCCTGCACCGTTCTTATAGTTTATGTCTTGTGGTTTATGTGAACATTTTCAATCCTTTGATAGTATTTCAAAAACAAGCAGAAGGAAATCTGCTGGTGTCCAGGCCAATACTGCTTGTACTCTTCCTTCAAATTAAACAAACAAAATTGTTATTCACCTGTGAAGTTGTTGGTAGTTTAGCTGCGTAACTGTGACTGCACTTGAAAGTAACTCATTGTATGACATTCCCTCACTGGTTTTCCTGAATTTCACTTAGATTTAGAAACACAACTGCCGTTTTATATGTTGGCATTGGGAAGTGTATAGCATATAATTTTGGAAGAGTGAAGTGGCTGAGTCCAAAAGAATGCAACGAAGGATCAATAGGGTTATAATAAAATAAAATAAGGGAGGCAGTTTAAACAAGCCTTGTTTTGAAGATGGACTGAGCATCAGGTTGAGGATGTTTTGTAATGGATGTTTTCCAATTGTTATTTAAAATAAAAGAGAAGAGAAAACTGGCTGAGTGTCACCTTCATGCTTTATATAGTTGGACTGTTGTGCTTGTCATGGTGAGGGTTGCTTGACTTCTTCCTGTTTAAATTTGGATCAAACAACCAGGGTTAGGTAAATTCCGATTAGATGGAAAATAGAGGTACAGGTACCTCTCCCCAATATTTCTTAACCTCAGCTTTGAAGGGGACCTGATCTGGACCCGTGTGGTATTTTTCATTCATGCCATTTTTAAGTTGAGTTTTGTCCACGTTTCTACAAATTTTGGACTTCAATATTTAGATTATAACAGCATTGGGTGTGTCTAGAAAATGTTTTTGATTTTTTTAATATAGTTTTTAATAAGATCACAAACATATTTATAATAATATCACAAATATCCCATTTTAAAATGGGATTTGTTGATTTACAGAAAACTGGTATTTGATGAACAATGTGAAGAATGAGGAATACTAAACATGTTGCTGTAATATACCATATTAACCTGTGAAGCTGACTCATTTAAGTGGTGTTCTATAATGAATTTCATTTTAACATCCTTGCATTTTTTTTGTCAAATCATTTTTGTTCACATTTTTCTCCCATCTTGTATTGTTTCACACTGCTGTTCTCCGGCCAACTGGGTGGGCAAGGAGCCTATTCCCATGCATTTCTACTGGTGCTCTGCAAATAGCCATTGAGAAGTGTTATAGAGCGCTGTGAGTTACTTTGCCAATTTCCCCTGCCTCTCGTGGGAAAGTGCCTTGATTCCCGTGACGCACCAGTCAAGATTCAAAAACTGTTCCTCTTTATTGTATGAAATTCAATATAAGATGTTTTTTTTGTATTCAACTAAGTCCTCCTCCTACCCCGAAGGTGATTTAGTTCATTTTTATTGAGCTGGTAATTGAAATTTTCAATAGCTGAAAGCGTTGCTCTGTGGTTGGTTAATTGTAGACATGATCCTTGACTGAAGTGTCTGGGCTGGTATTGTAGAAACAATTTCAATGTATTGTAAGTACAATTTCAAACCATTACAAATTCTCAAGTTTGAACTAAGTGAGACCTGTTTGAGAATGTTGTATGGCAGACTTGAACTTTAGAAGATGCGTTTTTAAAAAAAATATTAAATTGCAGTTGAGAAAAAGCTTCAGTTCTTCAAAAGGTTTACTGAAGTGCAGTGCAGCATTTCCAGGGCAATAGTTCAGCAGGTTATGAATGAACCAAGATGAGTCCAAGAAGACCTTTGCAAAACAATGTTCCATAATATCCCTGTGCTGTTTATTTGCTGGCCACCTAATATTGTTATATCTTTCAAAACCGCATTTAACTATTGGAAATATTGTCCTGTCATTGCTTTAATAATTTCTGCGAGAGAACATTTTTGATATAGTGTGTAGGATCATGCAACTTTGATCTAGTTTACTTGCTTCAACATCTTTCCTTTTTGATTTTCTGCACCCCCCCACCTCACAGGATTTTTAAAATGTATCTATTATTGTACATTTTAAATATGAAATCTTCCCATAAATCCTGACAGCATTTTAAGTCTTTGGCTATTTTTCCAAATACTTCTGTATTTTTTTTCTCACTTTTATCTTCTTATAGATTATCTTCTAGCACAAGTGGAGACATTTTAAAATTAGAGCTATGCTGATTAGAAATGAGCTCAGAAAACGTTTGGTCACACAGAGGGGTGTGCAAATTGTACAATCCTCTGCCACAGGAGGCTTTAGCAGCATTCATTAGGATGTTTAAAAGCGAGATCAACAGATATTTGGGAAGTAAGGGTATTGAGGGATTATTGAGGAATGGTGGGGAAATTGCTTCGAAAAATCTATGATTTAATGATGGAATGGGATCGCTGGGTGGGATGGCCTATTCCAGTTATCTTTATGCAGAGTAATTGTGTGCATTTGAAGACAAATCATTACCTTTCTGATCAGCTAAAACAATAATTTGCATTGTATAGAGTCTTTCACTTGAACTAGGAGGGAGATGGGCAATGGGTGGTGGAGGGGAGGACCAATAAATTAGATGCATTAGATCTGACCTGGGAGGGAGAGCTAGGGGTGATTAGGTGGCCAAAGGCAGCATCAAAGAGATTTTTTAGGTTGGTTGGGCAAGGCTGGGGGAATTCGGAAGAGAATTCCAGAGAGTCGAGTCGATAGTGGGACAGATGGAGAACATGAAGTACGCCAGAGTTAGTCCAGAGGTAGGGGTGGATGGGGTGTATAAATTGTAAGAAAATTATTTTGGATCCCCAATAGGGATCCCATATTTAAGAAATTTAAGTTGTTTCAATCGTTCAAGTACCCTGGACGAGAGAACCTCCAAAAGTGTAAGAATATTAGTTCGATAAAAATAGCCATTTAGCGAAAAATAATTTTACTTGTAGAGTTTGAGTGTTTAGATAAAGAAATGCATTTTGTATTCAAGTCCACATTTGAGGATTTAGGTGTCAATTCAGGAGGGAAAGATCAACCCAATATCACTTTGTTAGATGTCCTATAGCCTCTTGTCCCTCTTGTTGGTTGTTGTGTTCAAACAATACGTCACTCTTCCAAATTCCCTCATCCCATCTGTGTTAAAACCTGTAAAAAAAAGACCTATATTTGTGCCTTTGGTCATTTCTCTCCTCCCTATTTCCCTCCCAGCTCGACTCCCATGCAGTCTTTGTAAAACTCGTGAGACATTCTCCCCACTTGAAAGACCTGATATAATGAACACAACAACATATTACATTTGTATAGCGTCTTTCACATCAACAACAACAACAAGATTCCATTTATAGAGCGCCTTTCATGTCGGGAGGACGTCCCAAGGCGCTCTACAGTTGGGTAGATGACCCAAAGCGCACCAGCCAAGGTCAGTCAAAGATGGGCAGCCGAGCTGGGGGTTGGGATCAGGAGCGGTGGAGGTGGTGGGTAGGAGGGTAACTGAAGGATCACTTTATTTAAGATCAAATGTCATCTCCTTCTGGTTTGTTGGTGTCCTTTTTTTGGATCTTTCACCTTTGATTTTCTTACTTTGTCAATGCTCTTTAGCGTTTTACAGGTAATTTAACTTCACTAAGGGAAGCTTAGTCTACATTATTTACAGCAGAGCTCTTTTAGAGTCTTGCTTTAGTTACTCCAACCTCTTTCTTGCTCTTTGTTTCCCTGTAGCAGGGCTGTGGAGCTTCTTTTTTTAATCACATTTCTCAAGTTGAATCTGTTCGTCAACAAATCTCTGTGAATCTGAGTCTGAACCAGAGTTCTGATTAATATACCATTTGTACTAGATCCTCGCTTTGTGGCTGAGATGGGGCACAGTTACCTCCAATTGAATGCCATGTGTTTAGATCGACAGCTGTCATCATCTGTTTTTTATTCTTGAGATAAATGATCATTTGTCTGTGACTGTTTTGCCACTTCCAGATCTGGAATTCAGAATTATAGGGGTCCTAATTCCACCCCTAATCTCATCCTTTTAGGTGTTTGGTATAAATGCCTTTTTAGACTTTCTGTCTCTAAGAGAGTCATTATTTTGCTTACTATCCTGTTGCAGGTAACAATTCTATCCTACTCTATTCCTCCATTTGGCTGATTGTTATTTTGGCTCCTTTCATAACTTGGATTTGGTTTGCCATTTCCTGTCTGGTTTGTGTCACAAACTAACCCCCTTAACCCTCGCTAGTTGACAAGTCAAGGGCTTTTTGGTTCACCTATCTACAAGCCTTTTCACATTCTTGCCCATCTGCCTTTACAATTAGTAGCTCGACCAAAATTAGCCCCTGTGTGTCCACTGAACTGCTGCCCTGTTGATTGAACAGAGTGATTCCTACAGACCTCAGAAGATCACAGAGTTAGGGTAGGGCAAGGCGTGGAAGCATTTGAAGAACAAGGATCTTAAAGTTGCTCCGCTTGTGATAGAGCTAGTGGAGCCAGGCAAGGATGGGAGTAATGGGATCGTGGACCCCAGGGCTGGGACAAATCTGGACCTCTGGATGATCTGGAGCTTTTGAGGGGGTGAAGTTGGCAAGCAGGGAATTGGAGAAGTCACGTTAGACTTGGACTTTTTTTCTATTAGAAGAATCGGTACTGATATTTTGCACTGAAAGTTTTACAATACATTTAATGTTTTGTATCTCAATGATCACTGTTTATTGTTCAGTAAATATGTGGGATTTAATTCATGATTGTTAATCTTCCCATGTGGATATCATGCCCTATCAACAACATGAGAAAGTGCACTTGACCATTGAAACTCGTCATCCAAAAAGACTGAAAAATTAATAAAATCACTGTTGTGAATAGAATGCTTCATTGATTTCAAGGCTGTAATTTCACAGATACAATGTCTATTATATCACTTCTGTAACATATTCTTGAACAGAATCCCACTTTGCAATTACAACCAAGTTTCCTTCCTATTTATATTCATTTAAACATTATTCATCTGAGTTTGATATTTGCACAGTGCCTTTTAAACACGTTTAATGCTGTAGTACCCCATGTTTATTACAGAATGATGTCCCTCATTGTAGACGTCTGTTTTATGAGAAATATTTTGTTTGGTGGAGACCAATATCTGGAAATGTTTCTGGTTCTGCAGTCTGCTCCAATAGGTACTTTCCCCAGTGGGTGGAAACATAATTAAAAAGCAGCAAATAGTAGAACACCGAGCGCATACAAATGGAACATTTTTCAAAACAAGCCACGTCTGGTTAAACTGATTATTGTGTGTAAATTTATTTTTGCAAATGCATTTCTTGAATGAAGATCTTGTTTTTAAGAAATAGCTACACCGGGCCAGCTGCACTAAATCAGTGTAGCTTTAAGTTCGATTGACTATAATGTTTGTAGAATCTTTTTCTTGGACCTGTATAAACATTGCAGAATTGCTTTTTGTGAAGAGCCGAAACCTATTTTACAGGCTCAAGCAAATGCACGAGCTGCAGTGCTGAAAGAACAGCTTGAGAAAAAGAGAAGAGAGGCCTATGAAAGAGAGAAGAGAGCGTTTGAAGAACATGTAAGAACTTTATTTCTGTAAGATACCATTTTGAAGCAAGTAATTTTAGTCCTTAGCACGAAAATCTGCTTTGCAGCAGGCAAGGATTGCTTTACTATTAAATAATATAATGTAAGTATGTGCTGGACATTGCCATAGAAACAATCATAATTAGTTGCTTAGTGGCAAAACTAAAATATCTAAATATTATGAGATCCAGATTCTGGACATGAACTAAATCAGATTACTGATTCAATTTTTGTGCTTGCTTTGTTCATGCAAAAACTCTGCATAAAATTGTTCATTGTACCATTGTCGGGCATCTGACTTGGTTTGGATGGAAGTGTAGAGATGTGGCCTGAACTTATGGATTTGATTATAAGGTTACATGCTCTTAAGACATTGCAAATTAAAACTCTTAGTTTTCTACGTTAACTTTTATGAGATTTAAACACTGTATTTTTACATAATAGCTTGCAGCAAAAGGATTTAAGCATCCGTCTGTAGCTGGTTCTATGGCAGGAACGCCTTCTTCATCTCCTTCACATGGGCGACTGGCATCTGCCCCATCTTCCAAACCACAGTCACCAGCGAAATCCAGTACGCCTGCTATTTCAATGACTGCTGCTCTAAAGGATGTTGGCATTGTAAGTATTTGCTAGCTGTCCAACACATTTGTATTTCTTATTTTGGTTATGCACCTTACCCAGTCAAAACGGTGAGGGTGATTAGGGGTGGACTCCTTGAAAAAAAATCACATCTCAGTCAATCACTCAGTCAGTCACTGAAAGTGCTCCAAGGCTAATGTCTTTGCATTTAACCATTCATGATCAAGATGTACAGGTTTCCAATGCTCTGTCCCTTATATTGTTGTTATCAGGAACTGTGTGTGTGGAGAACTGTAGGGGCATGGTGAATGTCCTTTATCCACAGAGGCCTTATATATGTGTAGTTGGTGTTTTCTCCTGCCTCCCATTTTTTTTCAAGGGTTAGCCTGAAAAGTATCTATTTTAAAAATATGATAATGGATTGTCTATTTGATAAAAGTCACTTGTTCTATCATTTCCACTTACAAATCAATAACCTGTCAGTTGATAGCACTCTCACAAGTTAGAAGGTTGCTGTTTCAAGCCCCAAATATTGATGCCAGTCTCACAGCTTACACAGTTGCAGTTAGTAAGGCAGTTTTGTTTGGTGTTGATTGAGGCCAACCATCATTGGTGGATGGTTAGCTCTTGAGATTCCAATTTTTTAGTAAGCAGATATCCCTCTAACTGACAATAAAAAACAGCAAAAAAAAAACTGCTATCCCATAACCTGTGTTAAGACAGTAAAAAGTCTGGTATCCTGCTAACTCGAATTAAAAGATTGTGAACCAGTAGTCCTAAGTATTTTTTTCTTGAGCTTTACTATTGGAAACAGCTTGGAGGAACCCACTTCTGGTATATCAATTGTAAATATCACATGAGCTCCAAATTTGACCACAAAGTTCCAGTGTTTCCTCTCCATCCCCTGATTTAAATGATATGCTGCTTATTTCTAAGTGTAGGTTGAACTTTAAGTGAAGAATGGGAAGATGGTACTTAAGCTAAGAAATAAAGTAATGTGCAGCCAACACAAGAGAATGCCAAAGTAAATTCACGATTGCATAGTCCAAATCATTTATGTAATGATTAACAATAGCGTTCCTAATACAGATCCTTGTGGAACACTTCCTACTGCTTTCCAGTCTGAGAAGCTGTCCTTTACTCTGACTTTTAATTTTGTATTTAATATTGAGATGATATTGATTAGCTACTCACTCCATTGTGGTTTATGATATATTTTCAACTCCTGACGTTTTATTCCTTTTGCATATTTGATTATGGTTTGATTAGGAATTTTAAAACATACTACTGGACTTGCAGGTTGGAGGGAAATCTAATCATTCTTGAAACATAAACAGTCCAGTGCAGGATAAGTGTCTTGACTATGATCTCAAAGTAAAGAAATTAAGGCTGTTTTGTATTTCCAGTTGGAATACTTTGCACATAACATATATTCGCTCTAGACTCTAGTTTCCCTTAAGCACTCACAATTTTAAGTTGATCGGAATCATTACACAATACTCAACATAGTCTGGGCTGACACTCCAATACAGTGTTTGGGAAGTGCTGCATTGTCAGAGGTGACTTGTTCTGGATGAGACTTTAAATCAAGGACCCAACTGCCTGTATAGATGGAGGTTAAATATCCCATGGTACTACTTGAAAAGAGAAGAGAGTTTTCCCCGGTGTCGTGGCCAACAATCCCCCAGATACAATTTGTCATTCACTTCATGGCTGTTTGTGGGTCACTGTTGTGTGCAAATTGGGTTCCGCATTTGCCTACAAAATACAGTCTCTAATACTTTGCAGTAAATCCTATGTAGCATTTGAGACATTTCAATGTTATACGTGTTTCATCAAATGCAAATATTATTATTTGCAAATACTGTTGGATTTTATCATTACGATGTGGCTGTTGCATAACAAATCATAAAATTAAATGCTTTCCTCTTGTTCTTGTATAAGGAGGGAGAATCTACATTGTTCAAAGAAAGTTCAGAGGATATAAAAAAGCCAGACCCTTCTGTTATCCAGGTGAGTGTTGTGTATCCCAGGCAGTGCGATACATTATGCAAGTTTCTTTACTCTACGCGCCTCTGTTTACTTAGCAGTAAGTAGGAACCCGGTTTATTGTTGATTGGCAGATCAGTCTTCAGGGGGTAATAATCCCTTCAAAAAATAATAATAATTTTAACAATCAATCCCCGACTGTTTGTGGGACACTGCTGTGGGCAAATGGCTGCCATGTTTCACCCACAAATATACAGTCAATTCACTTTACAGTATATTCTGTGAAGCGCTTTGAGACGTCTCGAAGACATGACCATTAGCACGAGGGCTTTCAGCCACTCTGCCCCAATCTCTGGAACTCAATCCCACAGTCCTTCCACCTCACCCCGCCCCCCCCCCCCCCCGCCTCCTTCAAGACTCATCTCAAGACCCTCCTCTTCGACCGTGCCTTCAGTCACCCTCCAACCACTGCCCTCCCCGTCCTCCACCACTCTTGATCTCAACAAGCAGCTCTGGTGCAGATCTCTGACTGTCCAGCACCTTGGGATGTCCTCCTGCCGTGAAAGGCGCTGGACAAATATAATTTGTTATTGTTGTAATAAGGCACTATATCCAGTGCAAGGATTATTACTATTATTGTTGTAAACCACAGTGATCTGGTAAGCGAAAGGACCTGGGTTTGATTCCCAGGTGGGGCGAAACCTTGAGCAAGTTTCCCTACTGCACACGCCTGTTTACCTAGCAATAAGTAGGAACCCGTTTATTAGTCAATTGGAGGATCGCTTTCTGGGGTAATATAATAATAGTAATAATAATAATTCCATTTAAAAAATAAAAGGTCACCGTGCGCAATTGGCTGCAGTTTTCGCCCACAAAATATGGTGACGTTGTGGGACCAATTTTTTTTTCAACTCACTTTACAGTATATTGTGTGGGCGAAACGTGGCAGCCAATTTCGCACAGCAGTGTCTCACAAACAGATGTGGATTGAGTGACCAATTTATTATTATTATTTTTATTTTTGGAGGGATTATTACCCCCGAAAAGCGATCTGCCAATTGACTAACAACCGGATTCCTACTTACTGCTCGGTAAACAACGGCGTGTGGAGTAAGGAAACTTCCTCAACATTTCGCCCTGCCCGGGAATCAAACCCAGGTCTCTTTCTTGCGAAGCGAGTGCTCTAACCACTGAGCTACAGGATGTGATAAGGTGTTATATCAAATGCTATTATTTATTATTATGAGTTATGTCTGTCCTCTCTGTGGTGAGTAATTTACTTTTTAATAATGTGGCGGTGAAACAATTAATGATTAAGTAGAGTCCTGTAGCTCAGTGGTTAGAGCACTCGCCTTGCAAGCGAGAGACCTGAGTTCAATTCCAGGCAGAGGGCGAAACCTTGGGCAAGTTTCCTTACTCCACACAGAGCCTAATAATAATCCCTCCAAAACCAAAACAATAAGAAATTGGTCATTTTCAATCTACAACTGTTTGTGGGACATTGCTGTGCTCAATTGGCTGCCGCGTTCGCCCACAAATATACAGTCAATTCACTTTACAGTGTGTTCTGTGAAGCGCTTTGGGACGTCCTCCCGATGTGAAAAGCGCTATATCAAATGCAAGGATTATTATTATTAAGTAATGACCTCGACCTAATTTGGAACTGCTTTACCCAAACCACCAGAACAGCTATGAATGGACCCTGCGTAGTCTCTTCACATAAGGTAACCGTCTTGTGTCTTTTTATTCAGAGGGAGAAACAGGAGATTTTGCGCAGGTTAAATCAGAATTTCAAAGCTCAGGAAAACCATGATTTGGAGAGAAGGCTGTTCGGAGTAAGTCCGGAAACTCCAAAAGACATTCCTCCACAAGTGGAAGAACAGAAGGTGGAGGACGGGGCTCAGTCTGCAAGTGAAAGAAAGAGGTGGGAGGCAGAGCCACCTCCCGTCATTCCTCTTGCTCAGCTTACACTTGAAGAAACCTGCACAGGGATAAAGGGTAAGCGTGAAGCAGGAATGCATAGGAGCAGGAATGGATAGAACCAGATCCATCTGCAGTCCCAGTATAAAAGTAAAAGTATACAAGTAAAACATACTCCATTTTTTGTATTGCTCCATTGACTTCAACAAATAACTATCTGATCCTCCAGTGCCTCCCTGAGTAATCTATTCCACATATACAATAAAGTAACCTTAACACTCGCTCAAAATAAAAGGTATATGTAATTTAAGCTTAGAAATGTAGGAGTAAGGTAAGATACGTATGTAGTGTGTACTATTAAAAGACATTGGCTTCTTCTGTAAAGCACACGCATTTTAGTACTACTTCAGCCACTGTTGCAGCATGTAAACTAACCATTTAACCCAACTAGTTCCTCATGGTGCTTATAGTGTGTGTGTGTGTAAGCAGAGATATTTTTTATTCATAGAATGTTACGGCACAGAAGGAGGCCATTCGGCCCATCGAGTCTGTGCCGGCTCTTTGACAGAGCAAGTCACTTTCACTAACCCCAACCACCAGCTTTCTTCCCATAACCCTGCAAACCCGTCTTCTCCAGACACCTATCCAGTTCTCTCTTAAAAGCTGTTATCGAATCGGACTTCACTGCCCTTTCAGGCAGATCATTCCAAATTCGAACAACTCGCTGAGTGAAAAAATTTCTTCTAACCTCCCCTCTGCTTCTTTTGGTAGATATCTTAAGACTGTGACCACGAGTTACAGACACACCTACCAGTGGAAACAGCTTTTCCCTATCTCGCCTGTCGAAACCTTTCATGATCTTGAAGACCTCTACCAGGTCCCCACGTAACCTTTTCTGCTCTAATGGGAAAATCCTAACTCCTCCAGCCTGTCCTCATAGTTAAGGTTCCCCATTCCTGGTATCATTCTCGTGAATCTCCTCTGCATCCTTTCCTGTGCCTTAATGTCCTTCCTGAAGTAAGGTGCCCAGAACTGGACGCAGTACTCAAGCTGAGGCCTAACCAGTGATTTGTATAGATTAACCATAACCTCCCTACTCTTATACTCTATGCCCCTACTAATGAAGCTCAGTACACTAAATGCCTTTTTTACTGCCTTATCTACCTGCCCCACTACCTTTAATGATTCGCTTACTTCAACACTCAGATCTCTCTGTATGTTCACCCCCCTTAAGATTGAGCTACCAAGTCTATATTGCCTCCTATCATTTTTCCTACCTAAGTGTATCACCTCACACTTATCACATTGATATGTGTGTGTATTGTAAACCAGTTTGTCCTAAATTAAAATCCAAGTAGAATACAATTGTGCACAGAGAACTGTGATGATGTCACTCACAGTTGCTCCTTTCATTTAGTTTGTAACTAATCTGGCTACTATTTTGTGACTAATCTGGGTAACAAAATCTATTTCAGCGTTGTGAACTCACTCAGTACGCGACAGTTAGCTCAATAACATCACCCAGACCACAGGGTGAAGTTATTATTAAAAATGTATCTTTTTAGCCACTACACCAGAGAAATCCAACACCGAGAAAAGTGAGCTAACTGCAATGTTTTTTATTACACCTTGAGAAAAATATTCAGGTTAATTTGGAAATGTTACTTAAATTCAAAACTTTAGACTGAAATACAACATAGGATGTATGCCTATTTTAAAGAAAACAACTGCTTTGGTTAAGATTACACTCTAATGGAATGTTTAAATAGTGCTGATTTTCTAGTATTTTAGGATGTCAGTGCGGCTCAGTTGGAATTGCTCCTCCCTCACTTCTGGGTAGAAGGTTGTGAACTCAAAGCCCAATATTGGGTCTTGAGATTAATAGTCTAGACTGACAGTCCAGTGAAATGTCTGGTAAATGCTGAATTATCAGAGGTGCGTCCATCGACTTTTGGAATAGAGAAAAGATCTCTTTTTTGTGCCTATTTTAGAATTCCTTAGAATATTTGTGGAGTTCTGTAGCTCAGTGGTTAGAGCACTCGCCTCTCAAGCGAGAGACCTGGGTTTGATTCCCAGCAGGGTGAAACCTTGGGCAAATTTCCTTACTCCACACGCCTGATAATAATCCCTCAAGAAAAAAAAATTGGTCACTTCAATCCACGACTGTTTGTGGGACATTGCTGTGCGCAATTGGCTGCCGCGCTTCACCCACAAATATACAGTCAATTCACTTTACAGTATATTCTGTGAAGCGCTTTGAGACGTCTAGAAGATGTGAAAAGCGCTGTATCAAATCCAAGGATTATTATTGTTATTATTGTTGTGAAGTAAATGTTTTTGAGACATCTCATGATCTTGATTTCGATGCTTAGAATAATTTTTTTCAAAAATAAATTCCAACTAGTTCAAACTGAAGGGGAAGTCATCAAACTGTTTAGTAAAGACGAACCTCGAAAGGTGTGGGAGAAAGATCCTTCTGATACTATTTTGAAAGTATTGGGAGAAGCGGATCTGCAACTACAGACTGGAACATTGTCAGGAGCAACAGCTAATCAAAATGACGGTAAGCAGGCAGGATAGTCTCAGTAGCCCACACTGGAGGAAGGGGAAACGTACCTACCACCGACTTCCATATGCAAGAACAAAATTCAACTCATTGTATTTATTTGGTCAGCTATGTGTTTGACACACGAGCAAACCTATTGCCATGCTTAAGTGTATTGAAACCAGACTGAGATTTCCACATATGTAAAGAACCTCACATTCAAATTCCCTGCCTCTGAAATGGAGCTCGCACACTCTCCCCAGAGAGATGTACCCTTGCAAGTGAGAGACCTGAGTTCAATCCCCGGCAGGTCAGGGCGAAACCTTGGGCAAGTTTCCTTACTCCACACAGAGCCTAATAATAATCCCTCCAAAACAAAACAATAATAAATTGGTCATTTTCAATCCTCGACTGTTTGTGGGACATTGCTGTGCGCAATTGGCTGCCGCGTTCGCCCACAAATATACAGTCAATTCACTTTACAGTCTATTCTGTGAAGCGCTTTGGGACGTCCTCCCGACGTGAAAAGCGCTATATCAAATGCAAGGATTATTATTATTATTATTACCCTGTCTCTATACCTAATTCTGTGGAGTATTAGCAGGTTGGCATGAGCTAAGGCTTAGGGATCCCAGAGTGTGTATTTGGGTCCTACTAGAGTTTAATCAGCTAAAACTGCATAGGTTGGTTGCTGTTGATATCACTGTCTGGAAGCTTCCCGCTGCTTGTCTTGCTAGGACCACCCTACCTGTTAGGACTTTGGTTTGTAGTGTTAACAGGAGCTGATTGAGGAGAATCCCTGATCTCAGTGACCAATCTGTCCTTGCGAGTCCTGTTGATGAACCAGGCTGCCTGAGCTGTCATTAGCAGTACTGTGGAGTACTGCAGACCTGCCTGTCTTGGGATCTGAACTACTGAGACTGCCATAGAGGATTGAATTAATTCCAATATTCCATTGCCCATCATGTCATTTTGAGCCAGCTCAGGTTTCAGGGAGATCCCGCTTACCTCAGCCCCCACCCACGCATGGACCTATGCACCAGAGCAAACATTGGTGCTTTGAACGGGGGAGAAAATGGCAAACAAAAGCAAGTGTGTGAGTAATAGCAGACATTAATTTTGGATTCAAGCTTGTTTTACATGAAAATGTTTTGTTTTAGAATAAATCAATTGTCTCTCTATGAACAACTAAGTTCAGTGTAAATGTAAAGAAGTAGATGTTTGTACTTACTGAAGGTACTGAAAGACCGCTTAGCCTAAAATTAAGTCGCTAATCTACAGTTTGATTTTTGCTTCTACCCAGCTGAAGGCTGCTTGAATCAAACTGACCAGATACTTACTGTAGTGGTTGATACTGCAAACAACAAAGCCACAGTGGTCATTGACCAGTCAATGAAAGAAGAAATGACAAAAAAGAATATTGTTTCAGGTGATTTCAAAAGTGATGATTTGCACCCAACTGAAGAACCTACTTCAATCTCAAAAACAGCAGTGTTTGATGGCAAGATAGAAGGTACATTCTGTTTCACAGCTCGTTCTCAATCAGATGTCACTGTATTCTGGGATAAATCAATAGTGTTCTGGAACAAGTAAATCAATAGTGTTCTGGAACAAGTGTATGGCTATTGAAAGGGATATTATGATAATAAAAGAAAACATTGGCTAAGTGGGTGGTTTGATGGCTACCTTCCATCATGAACAATGGAAGAAGTTTGTTATCCTTCTTCCAAGGAACTGAATCTATTATTTTACAAGACTGCTTTTGTTTTGGAGTCTCTCTCCCACATTTGCTGACCTTAGGCATGAATCCAACCTCTGTTCCATTTTCATCACAGCTATTTGTATCTTCAATTTCACTTCTAAGAAAGGCTGTTTCAGAGAAAATCCTCTTGTGTCTAAATTCAAGAATATAGTGTAAAAGTATAAGTATAATCTTTCTCACTTTTCTCTGGCTGCTCATGATTTATACCCAAGTAGTTTGTTTCATGGTGTAACATGGCAATAAGCATATCACAATAAAAATACTTTCTTAGCTTGGGTCCTGTACATCATTTGTTAATCTTCACCACAATTTTATTTCCCTTCCATCTTGGAGTCCTCTGCCTTGCCCCTGCTGCCCCTTAAGACTGACCTCTTCAACCACATGAAAAGCGCAATATAAATGTAAATATTGTTTTCAGTTGTAATGACTGAACCATAAGAGCATCTGAGTGACTGATATTTCCCTACAAATAGACAACACTTGATAACAAATGCATACTTATAAAAATCAAACAAGTCCAAACTAAACCATAGATGACAGTGTTAGTTTTTTCTTCACTCTAATGATCCAATTTCTCAATCATCTGTCATTCACCAGTCCTGTATTCCCCTATCACCATTCTCCTTAAATTCTTCCATGGAATTCCTTCTGACTTTGCTGCTATCAACAGGTTGACACTGACTCCAATTCCCAGTCTCCAAAATCAAACCCAGCCTCTGAACCCTGACCCAAACAACTTTAAAGATAATAATAACTTATATTTATATAAAATCTTTCACATTAATGTTTCAAGTGCTTTACAAAATATAGTTGATTAGAAATTAAGTGAAATTAAAATCTTTGTGCTTTTAAAAAGCGTAATTAAAACATTTGCAGTATGTCTTTTTGGATATTCTCTGCAGAACCGGATGACTTAGAAGCTGAGATGTTAGAAGAAGGAAAAATAATCAATCGAGATGAAGTCCCTGTAGCTCCAATCAGTACTGATGCTTGGGAAAAAGAGACTCCGTCAGCAAGGTAAACGAAAATGACAGGGTTTTCTTTAAGCTTTATTTAAAACAATCAGATCACCTTGCAAAATACAAATTGACTCGACTATTGACTGAACAATTCTTCCATCATGAATTATACCATTGCTACAGTACCACGCTGTGTAGCAACTCTTTCTATTTCTAACATTGTGTTAGAAGGCAAGGGAGGGGGGCGAGGCAAAGGCTGAAGTCCCGAATGCTCATGGTAGGGCAGGTGGGGTACGTGGAGCATGCCAGAATACACTGAGCGAAGGAAGTGAACAGGTCAGTATGGAGTTAGCAGGTCAAAGCAAGGCAGTGGAGAACAGCAAGGACGAGGGTTTTGAGGGTCTATCTCTGAGGGATGTGGAGCTGGGCGAGGATGCTGGTGATAGGTTCACAGAGCTTGGTGAGGGAGAGAACAGTGAATAGTGTTGTGCAATCTTTCTGTCCACCTAAACTGGTGAAATCACATTTCTACCACATATCAGTAAACGTGCTAATAAAATCCAATAACATTTGCAAGAAGACAATGATCCTTTTTGTTTAAATTGAATATAGAATCAAAATTAATTCTCTAAACCAGTTGGAGAATTGGTTCAGAGAATTAGCAGCTTGACCAGAAGCACATTTCCATTATAAACCCAATATATATCCTATGTATGAGAAAGGGATTTTTCCCATCACTTATTTTTCTGTGTAAACATTTGTTTCTGCCATATAAAAAATTCTGCTGTCGCAACACATATGTTTATCTTCTTGTTTTGCTGTGTTTCAACCCAGACCAGTAGATGGTGCTGTCCCTCAGCACAAGAAGACTGAAGATGAGCCCAAGACCACAGAGAAGGGTGCTGATCAAACTGAAAGCAAAGCTGATACAGGTTACTCTGTTCACATTTCTCAAACTAAGTGGCTGTTCCTCTGTTCCTCTTTTACCATTTAGAATCAATAGTTTTACTTCCTTTTCGGTTCTAAATCACTATGGGGAAATGTAGGTAATGCAGGAATTTAAGTATTTTATCTGATTTTCTTAAGATGCTAAACCAGTTATTGATTTGGAGTGTTTATTATAAATTAGGAAACAATACTTTCCTTATGACGGATATTCATACTCGCAGGAATGGAAATTCAGGAGCATTTGGTTGAATAAATAATCGTATACTACTCTCTTTCCTATTCCTTAGACAATTTATTCACCAAATAGTTAATTCTCTCTCCAGTGTGCTGGCACAGTCTGCCTCTCTGGGTAATCTACACTAAATTTACCATTCACTGTGGAAAGTAATTAAATCTATACTTCCCGAGGCCCTCCTGATTGGCTCACGCCAGCGCCTCCGCACCTCAGGCGCCGACACCATCAGCATCCAAGGCTGCACTCTCCACCTCTCAAAGCCAGTCAGGAACCTCGGGGTTCTGTTCGACCCTGAGCTGTCCTTTCTCCCTCACATCCGCACCACAACTGGCACCGCCTTCCATCACCTCCGGAACATCGCCAGACTATGGCATTACCTCACCCCTCACGCGGCTGAAACCCTGGTCCACGCCTTTATCACCTCAAGGCTGGACTATGGGAACTCTCTCCTCGCCGGCCTTCCCGCCACCTCCCTCCACACTGCAGGTCATTCAGAACTCTGCAGCTCGTGTACTGTCCCGCACCAGGACCACATCACTCCCACCCTCGCTCGCCTCCACTGGCTCCCCATCCCCCAGAGGATTGATTTCAAGATCCTCATCCTCACCTACAAGGCCATTCACGGCCTTGCTCCCTCCTACCTCTCCAACCTACTATCCCCTACCTACCTGCCCGTACCCTCCGTTCCTCCGGCTCCGGTCTGCTCCACATCCCCCGCCCCAACCGCCCTACCATCGGTGGTCGGGCCTTCAGCCTCTCAGCCCCCAGGCTCTGGAACTCCATCCCCCAGTGCCTTCGCCGCTTCCTCCCTTTCCTCCTTCAAGGCCGGTCTCAAAACCTTTCTCTTTGACCGAGCCTTCAGCTCCCCTCTCGACTCTCTTCCCCCTCCTCGCTCCCTCCCTTCCCTCCCCTCACCCTGACCATTTCCCCCTCCTCGCTCCCTCCCTTCCCTCCCCTCACCATTTCCCCCCTGCTCGCTCCCTCCCTTCCCTCCCCTCACCCTGACCATTTCCCCCCTGCTCGGGTCATGACCCAATTGTGCAGCGCCTTGGGACGTCCTCCTGACGTGAAAGGCGCTTTATAAATGGAATCTTGTTGTTGTTGTTCTTTTCACATGAAACTCAATTCTGTGTTTTTTAATTGAAAAACAGCCTGATGCATTCTTGCCTTTTCCATATTTTTAATACTTTTTTTTTGCATAAACAGAATCTCGCACTGATGAAGCTCTACAAAGTCGACCTTTTTTCGAAAAGATGCCCCGAGCAGCAGTGTTGTCAAGAGAGTCCTCTCAGGAAGAGTCACCAGTGTTCAAACTAATGTTCTTTTCCACATCACCAGCGAAATCCAAAGGCAAAAGTTCTCTACTGATCGGGTTGTCAACTGGATTGTTTGATGCAAACAACCCAAAGGTATGGAAGCATTGCGTACCGCATTGCTCAATAATATTAGATAATATTGACCTTCAATAACTATATTCTAATCATGCTTTTTTTTAGTCCATTGCTTATGATTTTATTTTGAAGTTGTATTTGTTTCCGAGGAAATTAAATGATGAAAAGTTCATCATAACCTTGCATGGTCAAAGGACTAAACACTTAAGTTATGAGAGCAATTTCTCAGCCAGATCTTTTTATTGGAATAATATTCTTTTACTTGCAAAAGAAAAGGTTTTAAGTGTTGGAAAAAGTTAATACAAGTGCAAGGGAAAAATGACTAAAAGAGTGGCCAAAGAGGTATGTTTTGAGATGTATCTTGAATGGGGGAGGTAGTTAGGGATAATTCAATCCTTTTTTTTCTTTTTTCCCCTCAATGCTTTGCGCTCCATGGTCTTGCCTGTGACCTTTCAAATCCTTACCAACCTGACTACTCCCTCCAATCAGCAGGCACTGGCTTGCTTCACATCGCCTGCCCGTCCCACCATCGGCAGTCGGGCTTTCAGTCTTACTGCCCCACACTTTGGACCTCCATCCTACATCTTGCCCCTTCCCTCACCTTGCTCCTTCCCTCCATTCTTTCAAGGTCCTTATGAAGACCTTCCTCTTTGGTTGTGCCTTTGATCATCTTTCTCTCACCACCTTCGCTCTCCCTCCTGAATCCAGCCCCTAACTCGGGTGCAAATCATAGACTGGCCAGCACACTGGGATGTGCTCCCGTCCACCCAATTTGAAAAGCGCTGTGTAAATTGAATTTTTTTTTATGTTCAAACTGGAAAAACTGAGGTCCCTTCTTATTCAGGTCAATGTTAAAGATCCCATATAAGTGTCCTGGTCATCATTTCCCTCACAAAATGTCATGTCTTTTTTGTGGGGCATTATTATGTACAAACTGGCTGCTCTGTTTATCTACAAATAGACAGTCAGTACATTTCAAAGTAAAATCTTGTACATTTCTTCTCCCAGATGCTGAGAACCTGTTCACTTCCTGATCTCAGTAAACTGTTCAAGACATTTGAAGACAATAATACAACAGATGTGCCAGAGGATAACCTTGAATTGGACGATTTGGAAGATGAGCCAAACAAGGAAGATGACCACTCTGAGTTAGACACGTGTGTATTTGAATATTTAAGTATTAAGTTAAGTAATGTTTAAGCGCTCCGGGTTGCTACCCCACATGAAGGGCACTATATAAATGCAGCTTCTTGATGTTGAATTCTATTATTTGCTTTAACTATATGCTTAAACAGTTCAAAATTGAGTATTCAAAAGACTATGCTAGGGCTGACTCTCAAGTCTCATAGTGACCATTACTCTAATGTTTAGCAGTTCCTTAAGTTTTTTTTAAAAAAAAGTTAAGCTTTAAGCAGTATGTGAGGCATTTAGTTTCTAACCTGCATTTTCAAATAATTATGACCACTTGGACATTAAAGCGCGCATTGCACTATTCAAACAGAGAAGGGGGTTTCTCCCAGTGTCTTGACCAAGAATCCCCCACTACCCACCACCAAAATAAAATTGGTCATTCACATCCTGGCTGTTTGTAGGATCCTGCTCACTGCACTTTACAATGAATTCCCTTGAAGTGCCTTTTAAAAAGAAAAAAAAACTATTTTGGCTCTCATTTAATGACACTTATGTTGCAGTATGTTTGGAGAGACCGATGCAGATGACTTGCAGGAACTGCAGGCATCTATGGAGCGGTTGTTGCAGGAACAACCCAGTGAGGAATACAGTGAAGAAGAAGAAGAGGAAGAAGAAGAGGTGGCTTCCAACCCATCGCCTCCTCAGGAATCTGCTGACAATGCTGACAATGCTGAATTCTCTGTCAATGGAGCAGAGGGAGAAGAGGATGAAAACCCAGCAAGCAGTAGTGATCAAAGTGCAATTCATGAAGAGTGGCAATCAGGTTTTTTTTTAACTGAAACTCATCTATTGTAATTTCCTTTCCTTCCTCGATCCTTCCCTCCCTTCCTTCCCAGATGCTGTTCACACTCTTAACTACATAAGCAGAGGGAAAACTTGCCAAACAGTGCCATCAATGACAAGCTATAAGGTTTTAGCTGGTTAGACTCCAGCAGTACCCCACTATCACTATCTGACCGACTGTCAAACCAGGTCCTGAATTAATGTTACTGGAAAAAGTTGAGGTTCCTCTAGGACTTTGTCTTGACAGTCTGTCAGATAGTGGAGTCGAGGGTAGAGGCAGAAAGGTAGAGTTGGGTGTTGTCCATTTACATATGGAAGATCAGATAAGAATCTGCTCCTGATCGCTATCTAGTGATTCGTCTGGATAGAGAGGATTACTGGATTTTAACTCCCACTCCCCCTTTCCTCATGAAAAATGCATGGACATTGGATAGTCCTGTAGCTCAGTGGTTAGAGCACTCGCTTTGCAAGCGAGAGACCCGAGTTCAATTCCAGACAGGGCGAAACCTTGGGCAAGTTTCCTTACTCCACACGCCTAATAATAATCCCTCCAAAACCAAAAACAATAATAAATTGGTCATTTTCAATCTACGACTGTTTGTGGGACATTGCTGTGCGCAATTGGCTGTCGTGTTCACCCACAAATATACAGTCAATTCACTTTACAGTGTGTTCTGTGAAGCGCTTTGGGACGTCCTCCCGACGTGAAAAGCGCTATATCAAATGCAAGGATTATTATTATTATAGATAATTAAAGCTAAAATGCATAGGTTTGAGCTCTTGCTTAAGTGGTTAAATAGTACAAGTGCTTCTGAGCAGTGTGGTGAGCAAAGCAACAGAATATGATGCGAGGACGTCTCAAAGTCTACAGCTGCAGATCTTACTGGAGATGTGCACTGCAACCCTCAGAAACGATTAGCACTCTGCATAAGAGCTGTGGTGAGGGGGTAAAAAACTGAAGAGAAAAAGTGCTACTTGAGTTTACAGCAGTACTTCTTAAGAGGACTGTGCTGTGGAGGTAGGTCCAGAATAAATGAGGAAGAATTTCTTGAGGTTTGTGCAACTGTTGATGTCCAAAGTGAAGAGAAGGTAAGTGTATAGTAAATAAATAAACAGCATCTTGTTGGTTTAATGGAAGGGCAGGACGCAATTCAACAAACCCTTCTAATAGGTGGGAGAAACTCCCTTCTCTTATTGAATACTGCCACAGGATCTTTAACGTCCACCCGAACAGGGAGACAAGGCCTCGGTTTAACGTCTCATCCAAAGGATGGCACACCAACAATACAACCCGCCCACCATCTCCTCCTAGTGCTGCACCAGAGTGTCAGAGCTCAAAGTCCTGACATGCTGTTTGAAACTTCAACTTTCTGATTCCAAAGAGTGAGTCCTGGTACCCAAAGGGATAATACTTAGAACTTAGCTGCATAAATTGCAGCCACAAAATATATGGGAGGGAAGAGTTATTGCAGGAAAATGAAAGATGTGCATATAATGAGAATTTAAAAAAAATTTAGTCACTCAATCCATTACTGTTGTGCGCAATTGGCTGCCTCATTTTGCCCACAAATATACAGTCAATTCACCTTACAGTATATCCTGTGAAGGGCTTCGAGACGTCTCGAAGATATGAAAAGCGCTATATCAAATGCAAGGATAATTTATTATTATAAAAAAGTGTTTGGGAAGCAGTGTAAATCACTACGTTAATGAACATTCAGTCTAAACTTAAGGAATTAGCAATATATTCTGCTAGTTAAAGTGAAAGAATTAACATTGGCATTACAGAAACATTGCTGCAGACAGAAGATCGACAGGAGGTGGAGCTAAGAGAGTGTAGAATGTTTCGAACAGGTAGAACTGGTAAGTTTAGGGCAGAGAAATTACCTAACTGGTAAGAAAGGTTACTACAACAGACAAGCAGATACCACAGCAAGTAGGGAAAAGTCCCACTAAGAAACTAAAGAAAGCGCCAGCATCAGCTGACCAGGATAGGTTCTTGTTGAGGCAAGTAAGTGAGGCTGTCTAATGTGCTAAATATGGGAAACACAATTTTCCAGGGGTTAAGTGGACAGAGCACGAACTGCTGGAAGAGAGAGGTATGAGAACAAACCTTTTATTGGAGTTAATCCATCACAACCTAATGGATGGAGCAAAGAAACTGGGACAGATGCTGTATTAGATTTTTATGTTTTGCAATTCACAGAACTGCTGGAATTGGGTTCCCGTGACTACTCTGTTCCATTTCATTTAGCAATGGAGGTCAAGGTGAAATATAACACATGATTGGAAAGATATAAGTGGACCCACTAAAAAAATGAATTAAGCAATGGCAGATGAACTACAAGCCTTATTACAGTATGGAAACTAATGCACATCACATGGACACTAGTACATTCTTTAGCATTAAGCTCTTCTGTAATTTTATGCATTTATTTTGGCCTGATTATGTCAGTCTTTCCAGTTAGGTTTTCAGCTGGCTGAAAAAGGACCTTTTAACACAATTTTTTGTCTAACTCATTTGTGGGAAAATTGACATGCCTCTAGATTGAACAGTGTGAGCTGGCAAAGACATGGGTAAAAGGTTGTAGTTTACGGAAATAAAGTGCCGAAAAGATGAGGCTTTTTTTAAAGTAGAAGAAAATGGAGAAGCGATGACAAGTTGTGCACAACTAAAATGTTTGACTTTTTATTTTAAATATCGAGGTTGATATTACAGAAATGAAGCTACTCTTAATTTCCTGAGCCAACAATTCTGCTTTACTCCTAAGAGAGAGGGAGAGCAGTTTTTTTTTAAAAAGGGCTCTATGTCCACAGCATTGGTTCAGGATTTATCATTTGAGATCTGATAACTGCTGACTTCAGGAAAATCTGTCCTCGCAACTTTCTCAACTCTACTCCCAGCCTTCCTGCAATGTTTTTCTCAAAAAGGCTGTGAAATAACCTGTAAAGTTATAGCCATTTTGTTTTTATTTGCTATTTCAATGAAGATTTTGAGACGATGACTATGTTGCATGGTCTGTGCAGATGACAGTGAGGAAGATGTCGTTGGTGAAGATGTCGTTGGTGACAGTGTCTTCAGCAGATTGGAAGAACTGCGGATGACACTTGAACAAGAAATGGGCTTCGAAAGCTTCATTGAAGCATACAACAAAATTAAGGTTGTGCATGTATTTACATTTTTTTTATTTTGTTGCAGCTCATCCAGCCTGTCTATATTTTTAGAAGTCTAATAGCTTAAAGAAATCTTATACATAATTCTTACCTTCTTTGAAGCTCCCTGTGGACTGTGATACTTGAAAACTCAATGATGAGACAAAATATGAATGCAGGGCAAAAGTCACATTTGCTTTGGGACAGAGTTCCAAAACATCTTTCCACTGATAAAACTATCTTTAAATATGTGTTTTTACAAATGCTAAAAGGAATTGGATTGATATGTCACTCAGGATAAAACCTTATACCTTGCATTTGATATAGCGCCTTATCACACCATCGCGTCTTGAAGCACTTCCCAGGATTTTACTGTACAATTTAGTGACTGTATTTGTCGGCAAATGTGGCAGCCAATTTGTACACAGCAATAACCTAGAAACAGCCATGAAGTGAATGACAAATTTTGGGGGGGAGATTGTTGGCCAGAAAACTGGGGGAAACTCTCAGCTCTTTTTGTGCTTTGTGATCTTTCAATATCTACCTGAAAAGGCAAAGGGGACCTTGGTTTTATGTCTTATCTGAAGGATGACACCTCCATCAATGTAGCACATTCTCAGCACTGCATTGGAGTTCAGCCTCGCCTGCGAGTTCAAATTCCCGACATGGGTCTTAAACCAATGGCCTTCTGACTCAGTTACAAGCTGAACCAGGCTGACCTTTGGAATAGGATGGAGAATTTCTAGTTTCCCTCCCTCTCTCTTCCTTCCCGCTTCCTTTGAGACTTGCTTTTCCATTTTTGGGACCCTTTTCCGATACTTGGTTAGCGCACCAATCACCACCTCGATATTCTATCAGTCCAGTTAATAATATGGTGTTAAATACAATACAACATTACAAATTTACATTAATATCGTGCCTTTCACATCGGGAGGATATGCCAGGGCACTTAACACTACCAGCTTCACCAAAACTAAAGCATTTGGCATTTGAATAACTGAAATTGGAAATTTGAGAAGCTGCAAGTGTATATTGTGTTACATTCTAGAACAGAAAATAATAATAAACACCTACCCTCTTATTGACTATAGATCTGGTCTCACCTATTCTATGAATGTAAGGTGTCCCATTTACAGTTTTATTCAATTTCTGAGTAAAGTGAGAAATTGGCTGCCACATAGGCCTATGACACACAGCGCTACCAATTGAGCCATGCTGACACCTAGATCTACAAGTACAACAACAACAAAATTACATTTGTAAAGCGCCTTTCACATCGGGAGGACGTCCCAAGGTACTGGATAGACAGAGTTATGGACCCGAGCCGGGGAGGGTGGAGGGCAGCGGAAGAAGCAGGGAGATTGAAAGCACGATCGAAGAGGAGGGTCTTGAGATGAGCTTTGAAGATGGCAAGGGAGGGGGCGAGGCAGAGGGACTGCAGGTTGGCGTTCCAGAGGGTGGGGGCAGAGTGACTAGGCGGGGGGTAGATGTATAAAAGCATAATTCTCAAGTGACAGCCCTAATTCATTTTCTTTTTGAACCAGGCAATACATGAAGATGAAGATGAAAACATTGACATTGGTTCTACAATAGTGTATGGCATTCTGGGCCCTCAGTTTGAACACTTGTATCCTAAGATTCTCCATCTCGTCATGGCAGATGGAGTGTATCAAGAAGGCAAGGCTTTTTTTTCTCTTTCATTTTAGCTACGATTGGTATTTTGCTAAACATTTGTTAAACTCTTTGACAATAATTCTTGAGTATTAGAGGCTATTTAATGATCAAAATCCAAGCGTAGATCAAAAATGGATTCAACTTCTTCATTTTACAATAAATGTAACTACAATCTGCTATTCATGCCTTTCTGTTGTGATCTAAAAGCTGTTTGCTTACATCCGCCACCCATTGCATCACATGCTGAATTGGTGGGTTATTGTATGTTTTGGAATGCTATTCTTTAACAAGGAAATGACACATTCAAAAGGAAGCTGGACCTTCACACGAGGGAAAGGGGAATGGGAGGGAGGGAGGAAGGCATGGGTGAAGACTCCTGTGGAAAATAAACATTGGCATAAACTGGTTAGGCTGTTGAGTGGTCTGCTTCTGTGCTGTATATTCTTTGTGAATCTTTCAAATGTTTTTTAAATTGTTTCCGCTCACCATGAGGTACCAAACACAGCAACATAGTCCCTCGATTAATAGAATTCTAAATTCAGAATTTATGTTTTGTATGGTGTAGAATATACCCCCAACCCCTTTTTTTTTAAAAAAACGAGCTTGTTTTCAACGATGAGTCTGAAAGCGGTAATCAAATGACATCTGTATTTGGTGACCTAAGACCTCCTCTTTTGTTTTCTCTGAACCATATGATTCATTGTAAATGTTTCTGAGCAGCCTATTAATCTCCCTGTCAGCCTCAATTCAGTCTTTGTGTTTTGCTTTGTATTCTTCCTCTCTCTAACCTCTGGACCACTCTGTCTCGCTGATCCTCTGTTTTTAAGTCACACCTCAATTACTACCTCTTTGAATACACCAGTAACCATCTCTCTCTCTCTTGGTTGGTGACTAACCTTGTCCCTGTTAGGCTCTCTGAAATGTTACCCTTTGTAAAAGATGCTATATAAATGCAAGTTGTTATCAATACTGCATTATTTTATTGTAAATTGACAGGCCTGAAGTGTTCTTACCTTATCTATAATCTTATAATTTTCTACAATTTTCTTTTTTGCCAAAGAACGCTAGTTCATTTTAATTTTAAAACGGAAACATTTTCTTGCAGCTCTCGTTCTCCAGGGTAATTACTTGATGAGTAACATGATGTTAATTGCATTGCTTTTATTTGCCACAAATAGTCCCATGTCTGCTGAGTAAAAGGCAGACGTACTGTTGCAATTATTCCAATTGTATTAATGAAGCAGTGCCTGTGGAATTGCATTTTACATTAGAAATGCTGTAATTTAATCTATAATGGTGGTGATGCATCGCAGTGAATTGTTGAGGAAATTATTAACAATTTGTATGAAGAAAGGAGCAGAAGTTTCTATATTTAAATGCATGTCCTTAATTAACAGCCAAAGAACAGGAAATGGAATGGGAAGAATAGTTGAGCGTGATTCATGGTCGCCAAGTAAATTACATCCCAGTGAGACAGTGAGCGAAATATTACTGCTTCGTGTTAAAAATTGCTGTGTGCCAATTACTGCTGCTCTGATAATTTCATCTTCTTCCAAACCAGCAAAATTAAGTAGATGTGGTGTGAGATAAGAAGCCCTTCTCCACTGTTGTCCGAAGGTGTCTTGATTTAAGATTTAAAAAAACTTAATTTACAATTACTCAAAGTTATACAGATTCCATAGTTCTGGAATTTTTCAATAACTTTATAAATTGCAATGAAGTTAACGTGATATTACACCTAATGAGTGTTTAATTCAGGGGTATATAGTCTTTGAGAATAGATCCACCCATTTTATGTTTCTTGTTCAGTGGGGCCTTAGCAGTAAGAAATTTATTGACTTTAATTATGGCATATTCATTTTGTGAAAGAATGTCATTAATCTTGTAAAAGAAGGTCTTATTTCAAAGCTTCTTTTTTTTTCACAGACAATGATGAGTAAATCCATTTCTGCTGACGCTCAGGACATACCTCCATGGAGTTTTTTTTTTTTGCATTTGAATGTGTACCATATGTGAGATGAAATCCTGGAGAAACTCTGACTGCTATTATATATACACCAGCAAGTCCACCCTTTATAACGCTTTGTGAGGCTGAAGTTGCATTACAACATATATGGACTGCATGGTGTGTGCTGTATGCTTTAATTTTGTCCTTTGTTTGCTGGACTATGTTCTGTTCAACTATTTGTAAAGTTTCTACAACATAGTTATGGGTATACTGTAGCTGCAGAAGAAAAGTATGCATATTTAAGAGAATGATATGACCAAAGTACGTCAAAGAGTTAGAATTGCAGTTTTAAAATGGAGAGGGTTATCCACTATATCATGGTGTCTAGTATATTTCTAACGGAGGAAATTTGCATTTACATTCTATGCGGGGGTGACCTGTTGTACAGGTATCCTTTCCACCGATCCCACGTTTCGGGAAAACACTAACCTTAAAGTATTAAGATTGAAGATGTAACATAGATACAATTTCTTGTACAGTACTTGCAAGTACAAAATTCATACAAATGTGTTATCTTTCTAATGATTAGAAATAAAAATTCCTTTATACTTGAAACTTTTCTTGGGGGTGTAATTTTTAGCGAGTTTCCTAAGCTTGATCTCTTGATGCTACAGTATGTGGTTTTAGCTAGTTAAATTCCAGTCGTACCCCAACACACACTCCGGGGTCCCCAGGTATTGACTCTTGACAACATGTGCCTAATACTCTCCAGAATTAGGTAAGCAGAGAGAGACTGCACATCCCATTCCAGATGCAAGGAAATTTCCATGTGTAGGTGGCACACATACAGTCAAACATGTTCAAGCAACCACCTCCATTCAGCAACCACCACACTGGAACAGCCTGGACAACCCAGTTCACACACCAATTAACCCTTACTCAGAGGCCACCTTTCTATAAAGCTCACTTTAGTCCAGTCTCTGAGAGATTTTGAAGACAGGTTTGATTTGTGGAACTCTTGATACGATGATGGTTTCTGCAAATTTCAGATATTTGGCTGGCAAAAAAAAAATCAATTCTACATAAAGTTCTTTGGTCAAAACATGCCGGTTGACGACGCCACTTCAGTCAATAACTATTATTTTACTTTGGTCACCATGACGGTTGGCCCAGTTGAAGCCAGTAATCCAGTGTTGAACATTTGTTTACCAAATCTTACCACTAGATGGCCACCAATTTTTTGCGCTGTCCTTCACGTTGCATTAGTTACTTTCAGTTCATGGCCGAAAACCAACAAAGAAAAGGGTTTGTTGTGAACATTTGGAAGGATGGTATTAATCTTTCCTCTCCATGCTCTGCAGCTGAGACTCAGAGTCCAATTAGTTTTTAAAATACTTAACCCACCAGGTCAGTGAGTGAACCGAGTGGAGCCCATCGTAGATTCAGTTACTTCGAAAATATCAACTTTGGGGCCAGATCCAATACAACTCACAGCTTTTCCATTTTCTACCATGATCATCATTTCAGAATAAAAGTTTCTTTGTATGTGGACCTGTTCCAATAATTGGGAATGTAACCTCTGTATCCTCTTGGCATCGTACATTCATCACCAAGTCACAAGACTACAGGTTCTAAGTCTTTGGCAAAATCAAACGTGTAATACTTCCCCTTGAAATTTATCTTGAGGAACATTTTCACTCACTGTATTGAAGATCTTGTATGTGAAATTGATGAACTACCTCAATCCAGCTAATCTTAGACGCTAAAGCAGGAATTGAGGTTAAGGGTCAACTTTAATTCATTCCTCATCTTACTCACATGCTGTATTTTCAGCAGAAATCAGTTCATATTAGGATATGTAATCAGATGTGGATTATCTTAAAACTCCCAAATCTGAAGGAAGAGGATGTGTTGATCCTCATTCATTAAAAACTGGGCACTATTTTGATGAACATTTATGTTCATTTTGTCACAGAATATTGTCGCCATCCTTTTAAACCATGTGACATTATACTCTGAACCTGTTATCCTGACATTTTACAGATCCAATTTAAAAAAAACTATAATTACTTAAATGGGCATTAGACATTTGTTTGTTTCTGATACTAATACGTGTGCTTCCCCTGTTGCCATTTCAATATCTGTCGTAATCCTGATAATTTTTTTTATTCAGCAACCTTCAATAATGGTTGGAAATGTTTTGCAAATGTTTATTCAATTCGCTTTTAAAAGCTGTTATGAAGATTTCTTGGTCAACAATCTTTCAAATAAAATTGGTGATTCACTTCATAACTGTTTGTGGAACCATCAATTTTCGTTGGGCATTCAATGTCCCAATAATAATAATAATCCTTGCATTTGATATAGCGCCTTATCATGTCGTTGAGACGTTTCAAAGTGTTTTACAGAATATACTGTAAAATGAATTGACTATTTTGTGGGTGAAACGCAGCAGCCAATTGCGCACAGGAGTGTCCCACAAACAGTCATGGATTGAGTGACCAAATTATTTTATTTTGTTATCATTTCTCCATTTAAACAAAAATCCTAACTTTTGTTTTGGTGGCATTTTGGTGGCACTGGTATAATTGAGGGAAGATTACAGCAGGGTTGTACCATCATTTTTGGATATGTAAAAGGTATCAAAGAACACAATCTGGTGCAATAGATGTTTTTAGAAAAAAATATTTTAATCCCTTTATGTGTACAATGTGTGATGCAGCATATTAATAAACCTTCCATCTGATTTAGCACATGTAATATCAAAATATCTCAAAGTGTTTCATGTATAATTCCTGTCATTGTGCTGGGTATTTGCGATGAAGCTTTCAGTATATAATTTCCGTTCATCTTAATTCATTTTATTCTCGCTTTGGTGAACCAGGTCCATCCATCCACTTGTGTCAGCATGTTTCAGTTGATAGCATTATATTGTAGTCCTGTGCTGGGACTTTTGAGTTCATGGTCCAGGCTGAGACTGGGGAGTGCTGCATGATCAGAGGTGCTGTTTTTTGGATGAGATTAAGCGAAGGTCCCCTTCGGGTGAAATATTGAAGCTCCCATGAAATGAGAAGATTTCTTGGTCAACAATCTTTCAAATAAAATTGGTGATTCACTTCATAACTGTTTGTGGAACCTGTCTGTGTACTGGAGGGCTGCTGTGTTTGCTAATAAACACAGTCCCCATAGGACAGAATGTATATGTGAAGCACTTTGAGATGGTTTCACTGTGTCCTCTGTCCCAGTGCAACATTAAAGTTAATTTATGTGCTTTCACTCTCACATTATTAAGTCTCGCCTCACCTTCCTCAGTCCATCACAACCATTGTGGTTTCGAGCACCAAGTAGGGGCTCTGAGCTCGCAGGGGAGGGGCAGTGCAGGGGCTGGGGCAGGGGCAGGGGCAGTGCAGGGGCTGGGCAGGGGCAGTGCAGGGGCTGGGGCAGGGGAGGGGCAGTGCAGGGGCTGGGGCTGGGGCAGGGGCTGGGGCAGGGGAGGGGCAGTGCAGGGGCTGGGGCAGGGGAGGGCAGTGCAGGGGCTGGGGCTGGGGAGGGGCTGGGCAGGGGCTGGGGCAGGGGAGGGGCAGGGCAGGGGCTGGGGCTGGGGGAAGGGCAGTGCAGGGGCTGGGGGAAGGGCAGTGCAGGGGCTGGGGAGGGGCAGTGCAGGGGCTGGGGCTGGGGCAGGGGCAGTGCAGGGGCTGGGCAGGGCTGGGACAGGGGAGGGGCAGGGCAGGGCAGGGGCAGGAGCAGTGCAGGGGCAGGGCAGGGGCTGGGGGAGGGGCTGGGACAGGGCAGGGGCAGGAGCAGTGCAGGGGCAGGGCAGGGGTGGGGCTGGGGCAGGGCAGGGGAGGGGCAGTGCAGGGGCAGGGCAGGGCAGGGCTGGGACAGGGCAGGGCTGGGGCAGTGCAGGGGCAGGGCTGGGGCAGTGCAGGGGCAGGGCTGGGGCAGTGCAGGGCTGGGGCAGGGCAGGGGCTGGGGCAGGGCAGGGGCTGGGGCAGGGCAGGGGCTGGGGCAGGGCTGGGGCAGTGCAGGGCAGGGGCTGGGGCAGGGGCAGGGCTGGGGCAGTGCAGGGCTGGGGCAGGGCAGGGCAGGGGCTGGGGCAGGGGCAGGGCTGGGGCAGTGCAGGGCTGGGGCAGGGCAGGGCAGGGGCAGGGCAGGGGCAGTGCAGGGGCAGTGCAGGGCAGGGGCTGGGCAGGGGCAGGGCTGGGGCAGTGCAGGGCTGGGGCAGGGCAGGGGCAGGGCAGGGGCAGTGCAGGGCAGGGGCAGGGCTGGGGCAGGGCAGGGCTGGGGCTGGGGCAGGGCAGGGCAGGGCTGGGGCTGGGGCAGGGCTGGGGCAGGGGAGGGGCAGTGCAGGGGCTGGGGCAGGGCAGGGGCAGTGCAGGGGCTGAGGCAGGGCAGGGGCAGGGCAGGGGCAGGGGAGGGGCAGTGCTGGGGCAGTGCAGGGCTGGGGCAGGGCAGGGCTGGGGCAGGGCAGGGCTGGGGCAGTGCAGGGCAGGGCAGGTGGGACAGGCTCTGCTGAGGGTAACCGGCTGCCGAGTTTCAGCCACAAGCACAGGGTCGGGTCGCAGTGCGCGGCGGTCACCGCCATCACCGAGCGGGAGAGAGACGGAACCCCGCGAGCAGCGCTCAAACACCAACCGCCAACCGGCGCCGCGCGAGAGGAGACAGAGCAGCAACAGCTCAGCGCAGGCGCGGGCTCGCCGCTTGGCGCCTGCGCAGTGTGGCTGCCGGGCGGCCTGGCAACGGGTGAGTTTAGTCAGCGGCTCCTCCTCCCGCGCGCGGCCACTGGACCCCCCCTCACCCCCCCCACCCCCGGGCTGCCCTGCCCCCCCTCACTCCCCCGGGCTGCCCTGCCCCCCCTCTACACCCCCCCCCCCCCGAGCTGCCCTGCCCCCCCTCTACACCCCCCCGGGCTGCCCTGCCCCCCCTCACCCCCCCGGGCTGCCCTGCACCCCCCCCCCCCCCTCCCCCCCCCCCGCTGCCCTGCCCCCCTCCCCCCCCCCGGCTGCCCTGCCCCCCCTCACCCCCCCGGCTGCCCTGCCCCCCCCCCCCCCCGGCTGCCCTGCCCCCCCTCACCCCCCCGAGCTGCCCTGCCCCCCTCACCCCCCCCCCCCGGCTGCCCTGCCCCCCCCTCACCCCCCGGGCTGCCCTGCCCCCCCTCACCCCCCCCCCCGAGCTGCCCTGCCCCCCCCTCACCCCCCGGGCTGCCCTGCCCCCCCCACCCCCCGGCTGCCCTGCCCCCCCCCCCCTCACCCCCCCCCCCCCGAGCTGCCCTGCCCCCCTCACCCCCCCCCCCGAGCTGCCCTGCCCCCCTCACCCCCCCCCCGGGCTGCCCTGCCCCCCCCCCGGGCTGCCCTGCCCCCCCTCACCCCCCCCCGAGCTGCCCGGCCCTCCCTGTCCCTCTGCACACGCCCCCCCCCCCCCCGGGTCTCCCCGGGTGTCTGTCTCTGTGAGAGAGAGTGAGAGAGAGGAGAAAGTTCAGTGTTGCTCTGTGGGGTCGCTCCCGCACAGGCAGCGGGAGGAGGGGGTGTCGGGCCCCGCGCCGCCACCACCACCACCACCACAGTCTCCGGAGGCGGCGACAGCCCCCAGAGAGGGGGAGGGTCTCAGCCGCTAACCCGGGCTGTGGGGAGCTCTCCCCGTCCGGTTATCTTGTGGGTGAGTTTGGTTTATTTGTGTTTATGTGTGTGTGAGAGAGAGAAAGAGAGAGAGAGAGGGGGTAATGTAATGTGTGAGAGAGAGAGGGTAATGTAATGTGTGTGAGAGAGAGAGAGAGAAGGGGGTAATGTAATGTGTGAGAGAGAGAGAGAGAGAGAGAAGGGGGTAATGTAATGTGTGTGAGAGAGAGAGAGATAAGGGGGTAATGTAATGTGTGAGAGAGAGGAGAGGAGTATGTGTGGGAGGAGAGAAGGGGGTAATGTAATGTGTGAGAGAGAGAGAGAGAGGGTAATGTAATGTGTGAGAGAGAGAGAGAGAGGGTAATGTAATGTGTGTGAGAGAGAGAGGGGGTAATGTAATGTGTGTGAGAGAGAGAGAGACAGAGAGGGGGTAATGTAATGTGTGTGAGAGAGAGAGAGAGAGAGAGAGAGAGACAGAGAGAGGGTAATGTAATGTGTGTGTGTGAGAGAGAGAGAGAGAGGGTAATGTAATGTGTGAGAGAGAGGGGGTAATGTAATGTGTGTGAGAGAGAGAGAGGGGGTAATGTAATGTGTGAGAGAGAGAGAGAGGGGGTAATGTAATGTGTGTGAGAGAGAGAGAGGGGGTAATGTAATGTGTGTGAGAGAGAGAGAGACAGAGAGGGGGTAATGTAATGTGTGTGAGAGAGAGGGGGTCATGTAATGTGTGTGAGAGAGAGAGAGAGACAGAGAGGGGGTAATGTAATGTGTGTGAGAGAGAGAGGGGGTAATGTAATGTGTGAGAGAGAGAGAGAGAGAGGGTAATGTAATGTGTGTGAGAGAGAGAGAGAGGGTAATGTAATGTGTGAGAGAGAGAGAGAGAGAGAGACAGAGAGAGGGTAATGTAATGTGTGTGTGAGAGAGAGAGAGAGAGACAGAGAGGGGGTAATGTAATGTGTGTGTGAGAGAGAGAGAGAGAGGGGGTAATGTAATGTGTGTGTGAGAGAGAGAGGGGGTAATGTAATGTGTGAGAGAGAGAGAGAGAGAGGGTAATGTAATGTGTGTGTGAGAGAGAGAGGGGGTAATGTAATGTGTGTGAGAGAGAGAGAGAGAGACAGAGAGAGGGTAATGTAATGTGTGTGTGAGAGAGAGAGAGAGAGGGGGTAATGTAATGTGTGAGGGAGAGAGAGAGAGGGTAATGTAATGTGTGAGGGAGAGAGAGATGGGTGTAATGTGTGTGAGAGAGAGATGGGGGTGGGGGGTAATGTAATGTGTGAGGGAGGGGGGGGGGAATCTAATGTGTGTGAGAAAGAGAAGGGGGTGTAATGTGTTTGTGAGAGAGAGGGTGTGTGTGAGGGGTGGGGGGTAATGTAATCTGTGAGGGGTGGGGGGGTAATGTAATGTGTGGGTGTGAGAGAGAGAGAGGGGATAATGTAATGTGTGTGAGGCGGGGGTAATGTAATTTGTGGGTGTGTGAGAGAGAGAGCGAGAGAGAGAGGGGTGTAATGTGTGAGAGAGAGAGGGGGAGCAATGTAATGTGAGAGAGAGAGGGGTGTAATGTGTGAGAGAGAGAGATGGGGGTGGGGGGGGGGAAATGTAATGTGTGTGAGAGAGAGAGAAGGGGGTGTAATGTAATGTGTGTGAGAGAGGAGGGGAATTGTAATGTGTGTGAGAGAGAGGGGGAATTGTAATGTGTGTGAGAGAGAGGAGGAAATGTAATGTGTGTGAGAGAGAGAAGGGGGTGTAAGAGAGAGAGGGGGTAATGTAATGTGTGAGAGAGAGAGAAAGAGAGAGAGGGGGAATGTAATGTGTGAGAGAGAGGGGGGGTAATGTAATGTGTGTGTGAGAGAGAGAGAAAGAGAGGGTAATGTAATGTGTGAGAGAGAGGGGGGGGGATGTAATGTGTGAGAGGGGGGGTAATGTAATGTGTGTGTGAGAGAGAGAGAGAGAGGGGGTAATGTAATGTGTGAGAGAGAGGGGGGGGAATGTAATGTGTGAGAGAGAGGGGGGGGGAATGTAATGTGTGAGAGAGAGGGGGGGGAATGTAATGTGTGTGAGTGAGAGAGAGAGAGAGAGGGGGTAATGTAATGTGTGTGAGAGAGAGGGGGGGAAATGTAATGTGTGAAAGAGAGGGAGGGGGGGCTAATGTAATGTGGGAGAGGGGGGGTAATGTAATGTGGGAGAGAGGGGGGGTTAATGTGTGTGTGTGTGAGAGAGAGAGAGAGGGGGGTAATGTAATTTGTGAGAGAGGGAGAGGGGGCTAATGTAATGTGTGAGGGAGAGGGGGGTCTAATGTAATGTGTGGGAGAGCGTGAGAGTAATATGTGCGAGAGAGTGGGGGGGCGGACTAATGTAATGTGTGTGAGGGATCGAGAGAGAGATGGGGTAATGCAATATGGGGCGGGTGTAGTGTAATGTGTGTGTATGTATGTGTGAGAGGGGCTAATGTGTGTGTGTGAGAGAGAGAGAGGGGTAATGTGTGAGCGAGGGTCTAATGTAATGTGTGAGAGAGAGGGGGGTAATGTGTGTGTGAGAGAGAGGGGTAATGTGTGAGCGAGGGTCTAATGTAATGTGTGAGAGAGAGGAGGGGTAATGTGTGAGCGAGGGTCTAATGTAATGTGTGAGAGAGAGGGGGGTAATGTGTGTGTGAGAGAGAGGAGGGGTAATGTGTGAGCGAGGGTCTAATGTAATGTGTGAGAGAGAGGGGGGTAATGTGTGAGCGAGGGTCTAATGTAATGTGTGAGAGAGAGGGGGGTAATGTGTGAGCGAGAGGGGTAATGTGTGTGTGAGAGAGGGGAGGGGAGGTAATGTGTGTGTGAGAGGGGGGTAATGTGTGTGTGAGAGAGAGTCCTGTAGCTCAGTGGTTAGAGCACTCGCCTTGCAAGCGAGACACCCGAGTTCAATTCCAGGCAGAGGACGAAACCTTGGAAGTTTCCTTACTCCACACACCTAATAATAATCCCTCCAAAACAAAAAACAATAATAAATTGGTCACTTTCAATCCACGACTATTTGTGGGACACTGCTGTGCGCAATTGGCTGCCGCGTTTTGCCCTCAAATATACTGTCAATTCACTTTACAATGTATTCTGTGAAGCGTTTTGAGACAACAACAACAACAAGATTTCATTTATAGAGCGCCTTTCACGTCGGGGGGACGTCCCAAGGCGCTGTACAGTTGGGTCGGGACCCGAGCATTGGGGGGGAAATGGTCAGGGTGAGGGGAGGGAAGGGAGGGAGCGAGGAGGGGGTAGAGAGTCGAGAGGGGAGCTGAAGGCACGGTTGAAGAGAAAGGTCTTGAGACCGGCCTTGAAGGAGGAAAGGGAGGAAGCGGCGAAGGCACTGGGGGATAGAGTTCCAGAGCCTCGGGGCTGAGAGGCTGAAGGCCCGACCACCGATGGTAGGGCGGTTGGGGCGGGGGATGTGGAGCAGACCGGAGCCAGAGGAACGGAGGGTACGGGCAGGTAGGTAGGGGGATAGTAGGTCGGAGAGGTAGGAGGGAGCGAGGCCGTGAATGGCCTTGTAGGTGAGGATGAGGATCTTGAAATCAATCCTCTGGGGGATGGGGAGCCAGTGGAGGCGAGCGAGGGTGGGAGTGATGTGGTCCCGAAGCCTGGTGCGGGACAGTACACGAGCTGCAGAGTTCTGAATGACCTGCAGTGTGGAGGGAGGTGGCGGGAAGGCCGGCGAGGAGAGAGTTCCCATAGTCCAGCCTTGAGGTGATAAAGGCGTGGACCAGGGTTTCAGCCGCGTGAGGGGTGAGGTAATGGCGTAGTCTGGCGATGTTCCGGAGGTGATGGAAGGCGGTGCCAGTTGTGGCGCTGATATGAGGGAGAAAGGACGTGAAAAACGCTATATCAAATGCAAGGATTATTATTTTATTTTTATTATTTTTATTTTTTATTAGAGGGGGTAATGATATGTGTGTGAGAGAGGGGGGATGGGGTATTGTAATGTGTATGAGAGCGAGAGGGAGAGGGGTTTAATGTAATGTGTGAGATAGAGAGGTGTGGTTAATGTAGTGTGTGTGTGAGAGAGAAGGGGGTAATGTAATGTGTGTTTGGGGGTGGTTGAGGGGGGTGGAGCGCGTGTGAGTGTGGGGTGTGTGGGGGTGGGGGTGGGGGTTGGGTGGAGTGTGTGTGAGATGGCGGGGGGTGTTCAGATCCATGTCCTCAACCACTACCAGCGAAAGAGACGAGCAGAGGTACAGAAAAAGACTGACTGCCTGAGTGACTAAGAGAGACACACAGACAGGTACAAACACAGAGAGAGACAGAGCGAGTAGGCACAGAGATACAGGAACAGAGAGGGAGAGAGAGATACAGACAGAGGGGGAGAGGGATATACAGACAGAGAGGGAGAGAGATAGATACAGACAGAGAGGGAGAGGGAGATACAGACAGAGAGGGAGAGAGATAGATACAGACAGAGAGATACAGACAGAGGGAGAGAGATACAGACAGAGGGAGAGAGATAGATGCAGACAGAGAGGGAGAGGGAGATACAGACAGAGAGATACAGACAGAGGGAGAGAGATACAGACAGAGGGAGAGAGATAGATGCAGACAGAGAGGGAGAGGGAGATACAGACAGAGAGGGAGAGAGATAGATACAGACAGAGAGGGAGAGAGATAGATACAGACAGAGAGGGAGAGAGAGAGATACAGACAGAGGGAGAGAGATACAGACAGAGAGGGAGAGAGAGAGATACAGAGAGGGAGAGAGATAGATGCAGACAGAGAGGGAGAGAGAGAGATACATAGAGGGAGAGAGATAGATGCAGACAGAGAGGGAGAGAGAGAGATACATAGAGGGAGAAAGATAGATGCAGACAGGGAGGGAGAGAGATAGATGTAGACAGAGAGGGAGAGGGAGATGCAGACAGAGAGGGAGAGAGAGAGATACATAGAGGAAGAGAGATAGATGCAGACAGAGAGGGAGAGGGAGATGCAGACAGAGAGGGAGAGAGAGAGAGATACATAGAGGGAGAGAGATAGATGCAGACAGAGAGGGAGAGGGAGATGCAGACAGAGAGGGAGAGGGAGATGCAGACAGAGAGGGAGAGAGAGAGAGATACAGAGAGGGAGAGAGATAGATGTAGACAGAGAGGGAGAGGGAGATGCAGGCAGAGAGGGAGAGAGAGAGATACATAGAGGGAGAGAGATAGATGCAGACAGAGAGGGAGAGAGATAGATGCAGACAGAGAGGGAGATGCAGACAGAGAGGGAGAGGGGGATGCAGACAGAGAGGGAGAGGGAGAAGCAGACAGAGAGGGAGAGAGAGAGAGATACAGAGAGGGAGAGAGATAGATACAGACAGGGAGGGAGAGAGATAGATGTAGACAGAGAGGGAGAGGAAGATGCAGACAGAGAGGGAAAGAGAGAGATACAGAGAGGGAGAGAGATAGATGCAGAGGGAGAGGGAGATGCAGACAGAGAGGGAGAGAGATAGATGCAGACAGAGAGGGAGAGAGAGAGATACAGAGAGGGAGAGAGATAGATGCAGACAGAGAGGGAGAGAGATAGATGCAGACAGAGAGGGAGAGAGAGAGATGCAGACAGAGAGGGAGAGAGAGAGATACAGAGAGGGAGAGAGAGAGATACAGAGAGGGAGAGAGATAGATGCAGACAGAGAAGGAGAGATATAGATACAGACAGAGAGGGAGAGAGATAGATGCAGACAGAGAGGGAGAGAGATAGATGCAGACAGAGAGGGAGAGGGAGATGCAGATAGAGAGGGAGAGAGATAGAGGTACAGTGACTGAGTGAAAGAGAGAGATAGAGAAAGGGTATAAGGAGACTTAGGTACTGGGATGGAGAGGTTAACAGAGGGTGGTGGGGTGTTGTGCAGAGAGGGATGGAAAGGTACTCCTCACAGAGAGTTAAGCACAGCGTTTGAGAACGTCAGTAGCATTTACGGAAAGATAAAAGAAGCTCGGAGAGAGAGGTACCCAGACAGAACGAGAGAAGGCAGACAAGTCTGAGACCTGAAGAATAGGATATATTTGGGCAGTGAGCGAGAGGAACAGATACAGTGTGTGAGACAGAAACTCGGAGAAAGAAGCGGCTAGAGAGATGTGGCTTTCACACACAGATAGATGGGAGAGGAGCAGCACCTGACCAGTTATTTGCAGACTTCTCCCCTGCTCTCTCCTGCCTTTTCGCCATATTTCTTCATGGTAAAATGTTTCTATAAGTGTTTTGGGTGAAACTGGACTCTTTGGCCGCTCATGTAATTGAGCTAATTTAACATTTTAACTCATAATCCGAATAAACTGGTATTTGGTCTCTTTTCACCGACAGTAGTGTATTTAAATCGAAAGCAGCTCGTTTGCAAATCCAGGGTCCGCTGAAAGATTGTACATTATGCAACTGAAATTTTCTCTTCATTCTTGCACAGATCTAATATTTAAAGTGTGGGAGAGGGGAAGTGTTTCACCAATTTTGTCTCAGGAGTAAAACTTGTAGAAAAATCTCTGGTTGCCGGTGGTGTGTGTGAATGTGTGGTGTGGTGTTGTCAGTAATTTTAATTCACACATCGGGAAAGTATATTGTGTTCACTTACATTATTCCATTTTATTTAAAGATCAGTAGCAGAGATTAGGCGAGGCATGTGTTTTTTTTACCTGTTTGTGAAGTGCATGCGGTACATGTAATCAGAAGATTGTATAGTATTCAATACATGTATTTCCTACCGTACAGAAATGGAGACTGTTAATTCCTCTTCCCTGTGCCCTCCCAACGATGTTTTATACATTCATACATTTATTACATTTATGTGATTTGACTAGTGTGAAAAAATATTGGCATATGGTGATTTTTTTTGGTGTTGTGCATTGAGTCCCAAACAATTCCCAGCAATGAAAGTGGTGATTTGGATCTTCCTACTCCGTGCAAGGAATGGTAATTAGAAAGACTTATACAACAGGTCTGTTCCTGTGCTTCATTAAATAATTTTCTTTTAAAGATATGTGGTTTAAAGGTAGAAAGATATTGCTTTGTGAATCCTTGCCATCATTGTGATAGTGTGATGGTGAGTGTTTTCATTCTTTGTCATTCTGCTGTGCGTAATTTGTTGCCAAGTTTCGCCCAGAAAACATACAGTCAATTCACTTGAAAGTATATTCTGTGAAGCACTTTGAGATGCTTCGAAGACATGATAAGGCGCTATATCAAATGCAAGGACTATTATTATGACGTTGCTAAATTTTAGAAAAATATTGAGAGATATTTATAATATGGCTAGGAATGTAAATCAAAAAAGTGAAATCACCCTTTTATCCCAAATTGAATTTCGAAGTGTTATAAATAAATGCCCTAAATTGCTGGCACCACAATACTTTACCAGAAAGTTTTGTTAATAATTTTTATTATTTATTAATAAGATCTTATTTTTCTCAATAGACATTGAAATTGAAGTGGAGGGAATGGATGTAACGTGATCAAATGTTGGTCGAAAACAGATTGCTGGTCTTGAAGCAAAAAATTGACATAATGAAATTCTTTATCAGAAACTCAACTTGGACCGAAGCTTTGAAATAAACAGACAAGAATGGATGAATCTGCTTTGTTGGATCTGCTTGAATGTCCGGTGTGCTTGGAGCGGCTTGATGCCACAGCAAAAGTGTTACCTTGCCAACACACGTTCTGCAGACGATGCTTGCAGGGAATCCTGAATTCCAGAAGTGAACTGCGCTGCCCAGAATGCAGGACTTTGGTAGAATGTAGTGTTGATGAACTTCCCACCAACATCTTACTGGTTAGACTACTTGATGGTATCAAGCATCGACCAAGGAGGCCTGGAAATAGTACAAGCAATGGCAATAATGGCACCAACAACCCAAGGACACAAGGCAGTGGTCCCATTACTACTGCTAATTGTGGCACTACGTTGCGGGATCTTCAAAGCACTCATAGAGTGCAAGCACGCAGCCCCCCAGTCAGGGTAGGTGGTCATTTATTCTTTTCATGCATTTAGCCTTTTAAATACCAAACCCAAGTTTAAAAATATTGTTTGAATACAATGTTTGATTCAGGGAAAAATGTAACTTTCTCTACATTGAAAATTGGATATCATAATTTTAAAGCTTTTGTTTAGCGCCATATTAAAAATGTAATACAAAATTACATTTGTATAGCATGTTTCACATCGGGAGGCTGTCCCAATGCGCTGAACAGTCAGGGATTTGTGCCCGGGCAGGGGAATTAGGATCAGTGAGGGTGGCAGACAAGGAGAGTAATATAGAAGTTACCTTTAGTATTCAGAGGTTTTTGAGTGACATATTTCTCCAAAAAGCAGAAGTTTGTTTCATTAAACTTAATTTGTAATTAATAATGTAGAGATACAAAAAACTAAAGATATATTGAACACTGCAAAGGTTTGTTTTTAAGTAGCATTATGTGTATGTTTCATGGCACTAGATTTAAATTATTTAATGGTAGTTGTATTTGATCCATATACTATTGGGAACTCAAAATGATACAGCAGATATTAGTTTGTAAAAGCCCAGAAGACATTTTTCAAGTCTCGCTTTTTCTGCTGAGAAAGCTCGGGTGTTATCGTATCTCAACTTGAAGCTTCACAATTCCAGTTAAATAGCTGTAAATGAAACAGCTAAATTAAAATTTTACACTTTACGAAGTTGAAATGCTAGTAACCCTGTATGACATAGATAGCTAATTGCTGTTAAATCTTTTTGGGTGTATTCTTACAGAAGCTAAAAGTACCTTCCATGATCATTTTTTGTAGGTAAAAGGAATGATTGGGAATTAATAAGGCAATTATATTCATTTTGTGTCCTACAAAAGTAGTGCAGTGTGATTACAACGAAACTAGCAGGTTCAAGACCACTTAAGTCAGATAGTCCTACATTGCTCTGCTGCACCAATACAGATTGTTGCTACAAAGATGATAGGGCACAATTCTAAGATGGCCAATAGGATTACCAATTAATAAATTGTAAAGTTTCCATCGATTCAGGTTTGAGTGGGATCTTAGAAATTGTTTTTGAGGTATACACTGCTCTGCGAATTGATTAGATTTTGAACTCAGGTAGTCAAGGCTGACACTCCAGTGCAGTGCTGTTGGCTTGCTGCATTGGTGAAGGTGCTGTCCTTCAGATGAAACATTAAACCAATGTCCCCACTGCCTGGATATTAAAGATCCTGAAGAACTATTCTGAAAAGAGAACAAAGTTTCTCCCGGCGAACTGGCCAACTATCCCCCTGGTATTATTGATCATTCACTCTATGGCTTTGTTGTGTGTTTCTGTGTGCAAAATAGCTGCTATGCTTCGCCTCCAAAAATACATTTGTTACACCTTACAGTCCAGTCTATTCTGTGAAGCATTTTGAGACATGCTCCTGATATGAATAGTGCTATATCAAATCTAAGGATTATTATTACCACCTTTATGTGGTATTTCCAGAAGAGCAGAGTTTGTAGCTTGCAGGTGAGCTTTAAGTTCTACTGAGCTGAGTAATACTCTATGGAGTTCTAAAATAAAAGGTGCTCCTCGCTGCCAGAAAAAGCACTTCATGTTATTACTTGCATATCCAGCAGGGAATTGACATGCAAGACCTTGGCACTGCAAAGTGCTTTTTTTAACCTTGACGCCAGTACCTCTGTATCTATCCTGCAAAAATGCTTTTCTTATGTATGTTTATGTATGTTTCACGGAAGCCCAAACTTGCATTTAGTTGAATTAATTGCAAGGAAAACATTATTTTTATCTGATTGTTCCTAATCAGTAAATGCCATGGAATGTATTTGAAAGTTTTTTTAAAAAAATCAGACAGATTTCAAAGTAGTGTTTCTGTTTCTTAGTAGTTAACCAACAATAGATTTTTTGGAAGAGATTATCTACTGCAATAATATGCTGTTATAAACCAGTGAACTTTGAGAACCTCAGTGGGATTCAATTTGTTTGGAATACTTAACTAGCACAGTCTATTACTCCTACCTGTACCTTGAGGATGAGTTTCAGCAACCAGGAGAGGGAGGATAGTAGGATGTCTACTAACCCCAATCTTGTCCTCATTGATGACAACATGTGTATCTACAGCAGGCATTGCTGTATAGTGTTGAGCAGAGGGAATTCTTGCTTATTTCTTTCCCCTCCCTCTCTCTTCCCCCCCACAACAACAACAACAAGATTCCATTTATAGAGTGCCTTTCACGTCGGGAGGACGTCCCAAGGCGCTGAAATGCGACCCGAGATGCGAAACAACATTTCCAGTATTGCCGCAAGACCAACTTTTTAGCACAAAGCGAGGAGCTAATTTTTACCAATGGTTATGCTTCTTGGACTTGAAATCTTGCTAGGTCAAGCAAACTCTGTTTCTTACAATTTATAAGATGTCTAAATCCACTAATTCCAGGTATAATTCCAGCATCTGCAGTATTTTGCCTTTTTTCTAAATCCACTCGATGACCCAGTGGTGATTTTACAAAAGCCCTGTGGCAAGCCAGATGGTGATTTAACAGACATAGTGACATTTTTCAATTTGAAACCCAAAACAAGATCCGTGGCCTTAGGACTTGGGCTGTCCAGCATCATGCCCTTAAATAAATCATGTCCTGGCATGAGAGATCCACTTGTGGCTGCATTATTGGTAACCTGTGTGGATGCACTGACAACTACATCTTAAGCTTATGAAATCAAATAGAACTTTTTCCCTAGAAATATAATTCACCGCCTGTTACTTTGTGACAAACTGTGAAGTGCATGTATGTTACCTGTATATCAATGAAATTAACTCAAGAATTCAAACAGCGTAGGATTTCTCTGCCTTTTGATTTGTTTTTTGTTAGAAACAGCTTCTGTATTTTAAAGATCTGCAATTATTTAAAGAACAGGGGAGCAGGTTTGATGGCTGAATAGCATATTTACTGTAAACCTTTTGTGGTCTGGAGTTCTTTTTTCATTTGAGAAAATAGTTTATTTCAAAATCTGGATTCATTTCTATACCTACATCTAAATCTGCTGTTCATTGATTTCACTGTATACAGAATTTGAACTGAATTTGTCTGAGATGCAGAATCAAAGTACAAAGTTTCAACTACATGCACCAGTGCATTTATTAAATATTGCACATTGTGGAAGTCTCGACTCATATTGTAGAATTCTCCAACTTTACTGTTCTGATGTGTTGAGCAGTAAGTATGTTACAACAGATAGAGATTGGCAAGTCACCCAATGAGGATGACTATTCTGATTATTACTGCTTATGGTGTGGCGGTTCTTTAGGAGGAATTTTACATAAAGGCAGACTGTTAGCAAATTTTTAATTGTTTAACCTGAACAAAAACTTTATAATTCAAAACATCGTTTCAAATTCATTCAAATATCAATTACCTAGGCTTTTCTTCGAAACATCTCTAATTCTCCCTAAAAGAGAATGGAACAGATTAAAATATGTAGGAGATCCCCACAATACAACTTGCAATTATGCAGTGACTTTCACATTGAAGAATGTGTTGAAAGGCTTGTCAAATGTAGAGGTGCACATTGAGCAAGAAGAGATTTGAAGATGTTGATGGGGGAAGGTATGTTTTTAGTTGGAGAGAGAGTAATAAGGCACAGAGGATATTGGAATAGTAACTATAAACTATAAAGTAACCAAAGTGTGGATGATAAGATGAGAATGTTTTCAAGTAATTGGTCTCAGAGTGTCTGTTAAGGCAAAGCAATTTGTCATTAAACTCTGTATTCTGCTGTTTGTTCTGCTATAAGATGTGGATACTTCTGATACATGTATTGCCAGCAGGTATTGAATTGGATTTATATGTTGATTGCACTGAACCTTTCATCCATTTTAGCTGACTAAAGTCTCAAGAATCCTAGACTCTGGTCTCCTTGCAATTCACTTCTATTTGGCATGATTTCAGGAACGATTCCTCGAATCTAAAATTCCCAATTCTCTGAAGCAATATGAGCATTTGCCTACAGGGTAGATGTGCACATTGATGTTACTGTGTACGAGCTCAGGCATGCGTTGCCTATTTCTCTGATATATTGGCTAGGCTAAACTTAGCAATTCCTGATTCCAGAATTAATAGAGTGAATACCCGAGGTCAATTCTAAACCAAATGTTGAGAGGGGAGTAGGAATAGCAGTACATTATGACAAAACTGCTAACAAATTATTGTGAAATCGCAGCTTTGCACTCAGTATTCTAAGTGCAATAAATTTGAACTCTTGGGGTCTATCTAGTATGGATGCGCTCTAAATATTTCTATAAAAGGGTAGCTCTCAGTACTGGGTTAAGAGTTTCACTGAAAGGTTGGTCATAAAAATAGAATAATTGGTGTACTCTGCTTGTGCAGTAATTGTAGGCTGTCATGAACCTGCAAGTCAATATTGTTTATCTTGGTTTGAACTCGGTAATAAATGTCTTTCCTTTTACATATCTTGATGTGACATGGTAAAGATCAAACTGTGCAGTATTTTCTGTTTGGCCTGCATAGAGAAGATTTATCTCTTTCCTCAAGCAGTTATTCATAAACTTGTAGACACTTTAAAATGTTTCAGGCCTTCACATTGAAAAAGCTTTCCTGCTTGCCCAAAGCGACTTTATTTATTTTATTGGCAAGAGGCGTGCCTAACCAGGCAAGACCACTCTTGTTTGTTTGCAACTCGTAATTCAGCCTGAGGTGGATTGACTCTGAGTTAATGTTTGCTGTTTCATATTCACAAAGAGTGGGAGGTTTCTTTTTTATTATTACAATTCATTGTCTTCTTGACAAATATACAGTCAATTCACTTTACAGTATATTCTGTGAAGCGCTTTGAGACGTCTCGAAGACATGAAAAGCGCTACATCAAATGCAAGGATTATTATATTATTGAGGATGAAACAATTTGAAGGAAAGGAATGTTGCGGTGTCACGGTTTTAATTCTTAATTAGATGCATTTCTGTCAAGTTTTATTTTAGCTTGTACA